AATGTCAGTGTTTTATCTAGTGTGATGCCCAGATATTTGACCTCTTTTTTTTATTTCTATCACAGTGTTATTGAGTGTTATTTGCCTCATGTGATCTAGTTTTCTTTTCCGTGTAAAAGCGACTATGGTTGTTTTATTAGGGTTGATTCCTAAATCAGCGGTTATACACCATTCTTTTGTGATGTTTAATTCCTCTTGGATTATGTCACATAGAGTTTCCTCGAATTTTCCCCTGGGGTCAGGACTATATGTGTATAGAGGTAATATAGTTTTAGTTATTATAGTTTGTATGCGTTGGGGCTGATATAACCTAGCCTCGAAAGCTCCCGTTAGTTGAGAAGCGACGATCTCCAGGGCGTCTGGCTTAAGGGAGACACTAGCGACACTAGTGTGGGACCCGCCCTGACCCTAGGATCAGCACTTCGGGGAATTACAATCAGTCGGGGTGAAAATGTTTCACATACTCTAATTGTAAAGTATTTTGGTGGTTTTGAGGAAAAGTCATAAGATGTGCAAACATCCCAAAACATTTCCTCATGCGGGCTAATGTAGCTCCGCAGTTTGTTAGTAAATGTGTTGGTGTCTCTTCTGCCTCTTTGCAGAATCTGCATGTGCCATCTTGGATTGTTCCAATTTTCTTTAAGTGTCCATTTAACTTGCAGTGTCCTGTTAGGAATCCTTTTAGGATTCGCAGTTTGTTCCTGCTTCCGTTGACACATTCTGTAATTTCTTTCCTTCCAAAATTGGTTAGAAGATTCTTGGCTTGTCTGTGTCCAATGAGTGAATTCCAAAGTTCCCTCATTTTCTTTTTGTCCTTGTGTCTGAGATACTCGTTAATAGTGTGGGTTCCTATGCCACAGAAGGGTTTGGGTCCTATCAGCGGTGTAGCAGCCCCTTTTCTTGCAAGGGTGTCCGCTTTCTCATTGCCTTCTACTCCCATGTGTCCTGGGACCCAGCAGAGGCTGACTTTATTCTGCGTACCTACTATGTTTAGTTTGGTTTTGCAGTTCAGCACCATCCTTGAACTAATTATATTTGAGCTTAGTGCTTTGATGCTCCCATGGGTTCTGAGTATTTGGTTCCAGGTCCAAATACTCCTGCCCCTGTACCTTCTTGTGTTCTAGATCCATCTGTGTACCAAAGGATGGTGCCATTTTTGAAAGATTTGTTTCCCTCTCTTTCCCATTCTTTTTTGGTACCTAGATTTATTCGGAAGTTTTGGTTAAATTCGAACATCCTGTTCGTCGTCTCTTGGAGCCATTAGTATCGGTTGGTCATAGTTTGTTGCTTTCTCTCCATTTTAGTTTTATTCCTGTTGGAGGTCTTTGGTAAAATTAATGATGGTTTTCTGCGCTGTCCTTATTACCATGTGGTGTAGGGGGATTAATCCCAGTACTTTTTCCACGCTAATTGTAGGACATGTTCTCATTGCTCCCATTATGCAGATGCAAGCAAGTCTCTGTATTTTTTATGAGTTCTTTTCTTTTAGTTACTTGTTCTGCTTTATCAGCCCGGGCTATAGCTCCATATGTAAGTAAAGGTCTTACTATCATGGTGTAATCCATAACAGGATTTCCCGTCTGCATCCCCAGTTCCTTCCTTTATATTCTTCTGCACACCATCAATTTCAATCTGATTACTGACTCTGCTTTCATCTGTTATACTTCGATGGTATCCTTAAATGCTAGCCTCTCGTTTGTACCTCAGGTTGTCAATTGCAGAATAGACATAAAACATGCAATACACATGTGTACATTACCACAAACATAGAAGTCTGGTCACATTCACTCCCCCAGAGTGCTCTATATTCCTCAGAGTGGTATTAAATAACCCCCTTCCTTTCACGCTAATAAATTACACATTTTCCAATAAATTAACACACACATAAACACTATATACAGTTAAAAATCCCTATAGCCCTGAGTTACCAGAATCTGTGCCTGCTGCCCAAGCCTAAGCACAGGTCCGATGATGTGCCAAAGTGTTGACTCTATATGTCAAGCCTTCTACAATTAAAAAGGTGCTCGACTGTGATTCTTGTATGGCCTTGTCGGTATGGCAGTATGGCCTTTTCCCATTTTGAACCGTTCTCCAGGGACCAAGGACCGACATCTTAATCTGCAACAATTTGGCAGGGTTATTTCTATTTTTAAAAACCCAGTGGTTTTTCCATTCACTATAGACAATAAACTATAATTTTTTTATGTAATGGCTTGGTTGAGACAAAAAGTTAGTGTCACGAGCGGGATTCGAACCCATGACCTTCAGCTAAATACGCTGGTACTGATCCACTCAGATATCAATTCCCCATCTCAACCTACAACCTTTCGAATTTTCCCTCCTTTTTGCCATTTTTCAAGCTAAAGGTCGTGGATTCGAATCTCGCTCGTGGCACTAACTTTTTCATCTCAACCAAGACCTCATATAAAAAAATAATAGTTAATTGAAATAAGTAATTTGGTCAATCAGACCACTAAATATAAATGGATTAATAAACAATAAAGTCAAGAAAGAAATCCAATGAGACAGAAGGAAAAAGAAAAATGGTATTTGTACCAAAGGTATAAACTTTAAAATTGCAATCCTGAAAATTTGTTCTCTTGTACTTCCCAGTTTTAGCCCGAGGATGCATATATTGGCAATTTTGTAGAAATAGCATGTTTTTGTATATTGTATAATATGAACAAAGAGTTTAATTAATATTCAAATTGTAAAATAAATAAAACAAAACATACTGAAAGTTTGACTCTTGTCACAACTTATTCCTCTATAACGATCCTCTTTAAGTGTGCTGTTTTATTTTTGATGAAACTAGACACTCAGATGTCTAAGTTTTGTATGTTCTCCTATCCAAGCAAAGCATGTATTTAGGTATTCATATTTCTGATTTGTTATCTATGTACATTATATATGGATGTATATTATATGTAAAAATAAAACCAACCTTGATTATATTTAAAAAAGGGGGAATGAGTAGTGGAATGGTTTGGTTAAAAATGTGGTTTTAGCCAAAAAATTTGCAAAGCAAAAATTACTCAGAGTTTTGATGAAGTCTCAGATTGTAATCTTTTGGCGAAAAGTGTTAAATCAGTTCAATTTCATTGCCATCACGTCACAAAAGTCCCAAAGTGTTACAAAAAGTAAAAAAAGAAACTTGGAATATGTAAATAACTGAAAAATTGGCCAGTAATGGAAAAAAATCAAAACAAAACGGCAAACAACTGTCCGAGCTGGTTTAAAATAAATAAAAATACATTACCAAACCAATAAGGGAAAAAAAAGAGAAGTTTGCTTTAGCTACTATCGCAAATAAATATTAGAGTGTCTTGTGTGTCCCACTAGAGTGGGAAGTTAGTGTCTGAGTGGATCGAGGTCGCGAAGCTCAAGTGGTAGAGCAGCGGCGTATCTGTTTATCCATAAAAGCATATAATGGTTGGTTCCAAACTTAATTTTGGAGATAAGTTTCAAGTGAATTCATACAATTAATGTAGTAAAAAAATGGAAAACTTAGCAATCTGCAATGTTAGAAAAATTGCAAACCTAAAACCATAATGGAATATAATATGACAATTTAAATTTATTTATATAGTTTAAGGAGCCAGTGTCAATTTTTGATTAAACTATAAGTAATTAGTCATCCGCCTTCAGTCCAACTATTTGAACAGTAAAGCATGTATTCTAATTTTTTTTACAGCCTGAGAAACAATTTTCCAAGCTCTTTATGTAAATTGTCATTTGCATAAGTACTGAATAGAGCAATTAGAGAAAAACAACCGTTACTAAGTAAATTACTCAGAATATTATTCTTCTTCTCAGAATTATTGACAAAACTACTCCGGGTCTTTTGTGTCTAATCTTGTACAAACATTTATAACATTTGTATTTCCTTCCACTTTTCTAAGGCAAAAAAATACACAATGGCCATCATAAATTTTTTTTCAATCATTTTGGATATCATTTTTTGAGGGAAGAATTAAGATTTTTTATTTTTATTTATTTATTTATTTTTTTAATTAATTTTTTTTAAAGTTTGTGATGAGTAGAGGACTTGTGAAATTTCTACTTAAAGCTGCACTTGTTTAAATTATTATTATTTATAATACAATTAATTAAGGTTTTTAGTTGAGATAAAAAAGTCATTGTCTTGAGCGGGATTCGAGCCCACGATCTTCGGCTAGATACGCCGCTGCTCTACCACTTGAGCTATCGTGACCTCGATCCACTCGTACACTAACTTCCCATCTCAATCCCACCTTTTGAATTTCCCTCCTTTTTGCCATTTTTCAATTATTATTTATAATTAAACAATAGCTGTGGCTGTAACTACAAATTTCATGATTCCTTTATTCAACATGGAACACAGGAAATAAAATGGTTTATATAAAAAATCTAATTTCTTTTCCCCTGACCAATCTTCAACCAATAATCAACAAAAATTGTAAATTAAGTTTTACATTGTTTACTTATTTATATTTTAAATTGTCCGCGTATATTTTAAATTATTATTCGATCCTGGAGTAATCGAAAGTGCAGTTTTGTGAGCACAATTATTTTCACTTATAGTTTATTTCTTTCATTCTAATAAATTGATCTGCTGCTTGTTAAAACTTTTTAAAAATATTTATGCCTGCATAGATTTATTACGTGTTAATAAAATGGAGACAAATTTTTTTTTTTTTTTATAACAAATATTATCAATACAAAATATTGAAGTGGCTTCCTGTTTATAAAAAACTTGAAGTTCCTTGAAACAGAAAATATATGAAAATTTATTATAAGAATTTTCAATCTATAATTAATTCATAAACTGCAACAAGATTATTGTTTATACACCATCAATCATTAATATTTATAAAGGGGATTTTATTAATCCAGATTATTTAAATTTGTCATTACTTGTATTAATGCTTCTACTTGAATACAAAACAAAAAACATTGATTGATGGATTTTCTTTTAAATTTCATTTGAAACATGTGTTTTATTATAATATGGAAAATAATACAAACTTTATTTTATCACAAAATGCATACAGTATGTAGTGGTGTAGTAAAATTTGCGTATTATTGAATTGAGAATGTAGTTAATGTTTGACTTTGTAATTGAGGTGACTGGTCTATTTTTGATTAAAATATAAGCACTCAGTCATCCAGGTCTTTACCGTTCAAACAGCAATTGTATATGGAAGATTGACGGGGAACGCTGCAGATCCCGTCATAAAATTGTTAACTATTGACTGTTGATGACAGAAGGTATGTTGTTGAGACCTTGGCTTGTAATTGGCAGTTGCTGAAGTCTTTGTAAAATTCATCTTTAGGTTTGTGTTAATTTTGGTTATTTTAGATTCAGACACACCAGGCAAAAGTATGTCAAATTGATAAGTGTACATGTGAGGAAAACGTTTTTTAAATTGAAATTTGATTTATTTTAATACTTAGCTGCTGTTTTAAAAAAATAATATAAAATCATATGTGAATTATATTTAATATTTGCCTTATTTTGATCTATTAGTATTATTATAATTTTTTTTGGGGGGAGGGGAATTATAATACCTTATCATACCTTGGAAAGAAAACTTTTTCTGATAAGACTTAAGCATTTTCCTTGGTGCTTCTTTAAGCATCTCTTTTGGTTTGAAAACTGCCTTACCAAAATGGATGTAACCAGGCTAATACTTCACATTTGCTGATATCTCTAGTTCTTCCTGACAGAGTTGGCAATTTTCTGTCTTTGCTCTGCCTTTCTTCTTTAGGTCTTTAGGTGGTAGTTAAGAGGGCAATGGCCGAGGATTATAATTTTCCTCAAATCCTTCCAGCTAAGAAAGAGTAGTTCCTCTTTGAGAGATTTATAAATCTGTTAGCTTGTGTCATTCCTGCTTTTGTTCAGAGATGGAGTTTTTCTTTCTCAAGCCATTTTTCCAGTACCAACTTAAACCCACATTCTGGTGCACCTAGTTGTGGTTCTGGTCCCACAGGTGAGAGGGCTGCCCTTTTTGCTCATTTTCTTCTGTACCTTCATGTCCCAGAATCCACTTTAAAGTAGTCATGCCATGTTTTGATTCATTAGGCAATTTAGGTATTCCCAGACAATTTAGAGTTGAAAGCATGCGCATTTAGTGCCTTTATGACTGCCTGACTTCTGAGAGTTTGTAAATCTGTACACCTTTCATTATTTTTCTTTAACTCCTGTGCACCAAGTTATATTGCATGGACCTCTACTTGCAAAATTGTTGGGATTAGTCCATGAGGTTTGCTAGGGCATTGTTTGACTTTTTTATCCTTAAATTTGCTTACTGTTATATCGTAGGCTCTATGGCTCATAAATTGACAACCATCTGCCATGTCACTGAATGAAACTTAGAGATACAGGCGCCAATACTCCAAAATACTTCACCAACAAGTACAAGGTACCAGGATGGGAAAGTGAGCCAAAGGAAGACCAGGCCACAGAAGGCCAGTTCTTACTGGAGTACCGATGTCTCAAAAATGGATAAGCAACACTGGAGTCTTTGGGATGAATCCAAAGACTGAACTGACTTTAAACATAGATAAATATGCTATAGTTTTTTAATCTGAAATTGAACAATGTGCCAGAGAATTAAAAAGGTTCTTCCAGAACATAGCCATCTTCTCAACAGTCAGACAGCAGTTATGACTTTAGCCTCGTTAAAGATAACAGCAAAAAGTGTATTGTATGGAAGCCCTGCCAGAAGTAAATGACACCAATGACCTTCGTGAAAGGGCCATCCACAAGACTTATAAAGGAATTACTGAAGGGGAACCGCAACAGAACCAGGATTCTGGTTGAACCTCCTGACAAGATACTGCACCTAAGAAGGCACATGCACCGTATAAGTGTACAGGCAGTAGAAATACCATGCATATGTTACCAGGAAGAAGAGGAAACAGCAGAGCACAGTTTATGCTTTGATGAGGATCTATATAGGTCAGATTCTTGCAACTAGGAGTTTGCAAACACTGCAAGAAGCAAGTTCCTATGTTAAGGAGGTTGACTAACCTGAGCAGGCCAATGAGTTATAAAAAAAAAAAAAAAAATAGAGGAGCACAGTAGATCTACTTAGGTCAAATTGCAGAGAGCCTTGTGGCCACAAACCTTTTTTATCCCTATCCCTATCCCCATCATATTGGAGCCTCTTTCTGTAACGTAGGGCTTTCTTCCAAAGTTTATCTATTACCACTTTGAAGGGTCTGTCAAAGTTGAGTTTTTTCTCATGTGTTATAGACATATCGTTTAATTTTGTGGTGGCTTCTCCTTTTTGTACATTACTTGGTACAATGATTTTATGTTAGTCTCTTTTCTTTCCAGTAAATGTAGAAAAAGTAAATGATGTAGTTTATTATTATAATATTTTATTCTAGACAGATTCTTCTCACTGAATATTTTCTCATTTCTGCTATGAAATATTTGATAAATGGTCTGTCATCATACGACCTTGTTGGTTTATGTATTAGCCCAAATTACCCCCTATGTGCTTATAATAATTTATAGATTTTTGAAAATTTATAATCGGTTGATTAAGATTTAGATGTTGAACTATTACAAAAAGTTTATGATCTTGAAACAGTTGTCACTTTTATTTTATTAAGGTTTTATCATCAACACCAATATTTAATAATTACGGCTGGAGTATTGTGTGTATTTAATGCGGTTTTATCACAATTTAAGAATAGATTGCTGGCAAAACACCAATCACTTATCTGGTCAAAAATAGGTACGAATGCATTCAAAGGGTTCAGTAAGGACAAAATTGTAAAATCATCATCGAGCAGTGTTTCACAAGGTTCTGTTATATTTTGAATGAAATTATAATGCTTTCCCAGAGACACTTGAAATATACTTTTCAAGTGTAAATGGCAGGATTAATAATATGAATATATTTTTATTGGAAGCTACTTTATCATGTAGGTAAAAATAGGCGACACAGTCATTTTTCAGGCTGTCCTTAATTTTTAAGCTTCTGATCAATATTGCAGTCGGTTAAACTTGAATTAAAAACTGGTTTTGCTTATTAGTAGGAAGGGAATTTTTATATATTAAAAAAATATGTACATAAATATGTCTTTTTTTAATAGTTTTTACAAAATTATATTTTCAAATATGTAATATAAAATATAAAGTTTGTATGATCAAGAGAACAATTGTAAAATAACAAATGAAACAAAATTGAAACATTTTATTTTTGTTTTAAATATTGAGAATGACAAGATAATTTAAATTTTCAAAATTGAAAAGGCAACTTTCAGGTCTTAAAATGGATTTGTATAAAAAAGAGCTCACATATACATCATTTAATTTTATTGGAGCAAATGTAAAAATTGAAATTTTCTTTAGATTTAAATTAATTCTCTGTTATGAAGTCCTTCGGCAGCACATCTTCCATTTTTTTTCATATTTTATTGCCAAATTCTCCTGCGGCTGCTTCTAATAATAATAACTGACATATTTGGGGGTTTCCGTTTTTCCATCATATGAGTATGGTATTAACTGAAACGAGTGCCAAATCATGGATGAATGGATATTTTTTCATTAGATTTTTGGCCTTTTTAATTGATATAACTGAATCAACATCAAGTTTTGATATAACTTCCTTTATTTTGTACAAATTTTTGGAATAATATCTTTCAATTAATTAAGGTTTTTAGTTGAGATAAAAAAGTCAGTGTCATGAGCGGGATTCGAACCCACGATCTTCCCCTAGATACGCCGTTGCTCTACCACTTGAGCTATTGTGACCTCGATCCACTCAGACACTAACTTCCCATCTCACCCCCACCTTTTTGAATTTTCCCTCCTTTTCACCATTTTTAAATATAAGGTATAGAAAAATTGGCTGTATCTGAGCATACGTTCTCGAAGGTAGGTCGCAGAAGTAAGAACGAATTTAAATCAGGTGATCACATTATTCTTCTCTCCGAATCTGATTCCAGGTTAAAAAAAAGATTGTTTTTGAATTTGAATTGAATGAAGTATATCTTCACTAAAGCTCTCCGAGGCCATTTCATTTGTGATTTATTGTGATCACCGAAGATCGTGGGTTCGAATCCCGCTCGTGACACTGTCTTTTTTATCTCAACTAAAAACCTTAATTAATTGAAAGATATTAATTGGTCAAGTGGACCACGAAAATTAGTCAATTTTGCAATAATATTCAGCTGTCTCTAACCCCAGCACCCCACCTCATAACAAGCTGAGAAGAAAGACGCATATCTGGATAGGTTTATTTAAGGATTTTTGTTTGACTTCTTGTTATATAAATATTTTTGTGACTTTTTTTTATACTTTTAACACTGTTTGGTGTTTAATATGATGCTTAGATTAGTTGTTTTTAAAATAAAAATAAAACAGGACGTTTTACTTTTTTTTCTTTAATGCCATAATTTTATTGGTATATTGCAAATTAAAATTGTTAAACCAATGTTAAAGATCCCACAATATAGTAAAATGTTTGATAAAAAATTTGTAAAATAAAGAAAATATGTAATAAAATTGAATTTACCCCAAAATATATAACATTAAATTGCTTCAAAATGTCATAAAACATCAGTAAATTGTAATATGCCAATATGGGCCTTAAAAATATATATATATTTATAAATCCACTCCCTACTTATTAATATTGTAGAAGAATTGCAAATACCTACAATTGAAATCTAGATGGTTTGAAAATTAATGTTTTCCAAGTTAATGATGTACCATTTAACAAAAAATAAACGTTCGTCAGATTAATGTGTAGGAAAATTAAACAGTTTTACAATCGCTGTTTTTATAGGCGCTGGTATTTATAATGAGGGGGAATATTTGATATTGCCAGATGTGCAATGTTATCAAACCAGATTTTTTTTTATCTTCGTTATAATTTATGATACTGCTTAAAAATTGATTCAAAATTGTTTGCTATTTTATAGCAGTAAATATGAGAATCAGTGAGCGCGAGATAATGGCGATAAATCGCTCGGCCTAATCTCAGAGCAAGTCTATATCCAGATTAGCGCAAATCAAGGCTAATTGAATTAACTTTATATCCCTCTTTCACATCAGTTTATCAACCCCGGCTGATTTTAAGCACAATCTAATAAATTTTTATCTGAGATAAACAAACGGTTTGAATAGTTAAATGTCACTTTTGGTGAAAAATATTAAGCCTAGTTGAGTAGGTGATTGAACTTTTGTCCTTTATTTAAGATAATTCAAATTTAACCACAGTGTCGATAAAAACCTTTTATGACCTTACCTCAATAAGAACCTTTTAAAAAGCTTATTTAGAGCTGCAAAACAGTTTTTTTTGCCAAATTTAATTTTAAAACACATTCTTATTTAATTCACATTTTTCAAATTGTAAACGGTTTGTTTATAACTGTCTGGCAAATATGTTAAAATGTGCTTATTAAAATAATAAAATTAACAAAGTAAAGATGATGAAACTTTAAACTTCAATCAGTTACAATTATTTAGTAAATTTTAGTTAATGTTCATTTAAACTTGTATATAATGTTAAATTCTTATTTGCATTAAAAATAAGAATAATAATAAAATTACTGTTCATTTTTTTTTTATTAAAGTCCAATAATTTTAAGAAAATGGTTTAGTTGAAGGATATTAAGAGGGGGGGGGGTGATAAGGCCCAAGCCAGAGCTGTACCGCTACATCAGTTGATTCTTGTGCTTGGATTGTGATTTGACTGGTGGTATAAAGGAACTCATCCTTGCAATTACTAGTTAAGTTGACAAATTAATTTTTCAAATAACAATTATAATTTTGCGCCAAAAAAACTATGATCAAACTCCATCATTAAAAGGTAAGGATTAAAATATTCCATCATAAAAAAAAAATCTTTGTAAACGTTTTATTAATAAAAATTAGGCCATAGAAGTTACAATAGTTCTTTCCCAGAACGTGAACAAATTGATTACGAAAATTGTTGTAACGCATTCGAAATCATTGTCAAAACTTAACGTTTTTGTCATAAAATTTTAAAGGACTTGAAGTTTCAAACAGAAAAGCGTTTAATAGTTCTTATCTGTAATTAGTAATAAAGATTACACATTTTTATCAGGAAAAACAAAGGTTGAGGAATTTGCTTTGGAAGGTGGCCGGCAATGTTCATTTGTATTAAACAGTAAAACATATCCTCAGACATATACTATTTTGTTACATCTGATAATAGTTGACGATATTTTTTAAATTTGGACAAATCATATTCATGATTATGAAAAGAAATGATTTAGTCCATATAGTATTTTATTTTGCTAATTAGAATGAATGTGCTAATTAGATTTATTGATATAAAACCACTCATTTGTACCCTATAAATAGTACATTTACCAATAAAATACTAGAATTAATTTCCAATAAAATAAATCATAATTTGTATACAAAAAAGGAAAAATGTTTTTCTATCAGTTTAAAAACAGGCTGCTTATACTATTTTTGTTTATGAAATATCAACAATCTTGATAAAACATAAATTTTTCCATGTGGCTTTTTAATTAAAAATGCTTTATTGTAATAATAGATCAAAATAAAAAGTGTTTTTCATTTGTAGTGTTGTTTCAGCAGCATTTTTTGTTCTAAATTCATGCAACATTAATTTATGATTTTTTTGTTGTTAATTTATTAAAAACTAGAATGTTGGTTGTAAGGCTAACAATTTATTTGTCTTTTGTCCCAATTTTAATATATGTTCAAGTAATAATAGTTGCTTGATTGTATAACCATTAAAAAAGTTCTTTGTTTATGCACGTCAATATTACATACATCCACTAGTGTTTTTGTACCTTTTTATATTTTTATTTTTATATTTTATTTATTTTTTTAATTTTTCGACATATCTCAACAGCCCAGTAAGAACGGGTTTTTTGGCTTCCGGGAAGTTTACCTTTTGTTCCCAATTAATGATAGAGGCAATGTGATTAATGTTAGTTATTACAAGTCTGCATCATTAAACGATCCATGACCCCCCAAGAATCTCATTCCGTTGACATTTCTCACGATATGTCATGACATCCACATCTTACCATTTTTAATTCTTCTACTTTTTTCAATTTGCATTTTAAATCTCGAATTATTATGAATATTTTAAGTTAAATTATCTTTCATAATTTTGATAACAATGAAATATTTTCCATATAAATTATTTAGCTTGCACTTCTGTACCTGTATATATGTATGTATATGTATATATTTATGTGTATTATTTTTAATTAAAAGTTTTAACTGAATATAATTCAGTTAAATATGTACTACATACTCCTTTACTTTACATACTGTTTAATACTCAAATATTTTTTCCATTTTTTCGTAGTTTTGCTTTTTCTATTGTTATATTTTAAATATTGTATATTTCTATATTTAAACATTTTTGTATATTATGTATGAATTATTATTATCATGATTACTTATGGTTTTGTTATTTTATGGATAATCTGTTTTTGTCACTTGAAAATATTTTATCATTGAAACCCATTGTAAAACTTTTTTTTAAATTACATTCATTTGATATTTACAATTACAAGTGATGTATTAAGAAAATATTTTCAAAATGTTGAATTATCATTTGAGGCCCTTGTAAGAGAAGTTGCCCAGCAATAAACTTTTTTGTGAAAAAAATAAAAAAATAAAAAATACAAGTTCACTAGTTTTCGTGGTCTGCTTGACCAATAAATATCTTTCAATTAATTAATGGCAAAAAGGAGGGAAAATTCAAAAGGTTGGGTTGAGATGGGAAGTTTAATTTGAGATCAAACATAAATGATGTATATTTGTTGTATGTTTAGAAGATTAGAATATCGGAAAAATAAGTGTGAAAAACTTGAATTTTATTTTTGAATTAATTGCAAGCGTGCTATGTGATATGACTCCGGTTTCATTTTCCAACGGGGTTTTCAGTTAATTTTCAACAAGCGTTTTCATTCAAGGGCATTTGTTCTGACGAGCTGTCAATCGTGAAAAACATGACCTGGAATTATTTAACTTTTTCTGCTTGGATAGCTTCTGTAATTCACAACGTGACTGTTTTACCATTTTTATTGACGAAAAGACGGCCACCTTTTTGAAAAGTGTTCACCAGGTTTCGAGATGTTTTCCCGGTCACGTGTATGCCTCCAACAGCACACATATTCTTTTATCTGCAATTCTTAATAATTTCAATTAATTAAAGTTTTAGTTGAGATAAAAAAGTCAGTGTCGCAAGTGGGATTTGAAAAATGGCAAAAAGGAGGGAAAATTCAAAAGGTGGGGTTGAGTTGGGAAGTTAGTGTCCGAGTGGATCGAGGTCACGACAGCTCAAGTGGTAGAGCAGCGGTGTATTGAGCCGAAGGTCGTGGGTTCGAATCCCGCTCGTGTCACTGACTTTTTTATTTCAACTAAAAACCTTAATTAATTGAAAAAATACAAGCTGATACAGCTTAGATTATATATATAAGATAGAGGTCTGACCCTGGCCTGCCAACAGCCAAGGCGGGTAATTCTTGAGACCTGCTGGTAATTTTAAATGCAAAAGCTGGAATTGCCGGTGGAGTGCGAGGAGTCCATACACTCGTATGTTTGTACTTGCATATGCAGATTTGAGCTAATCAGCAATAGAAATTTACTACAATAAATACAACATGCAATTAGTTTTATTGTATTATGTAGCGCTTCTACTACTAGTGTATATAGCTACATGTATATAATGTATTTTTATATAATACAGTCAAGATCTTAGAATTAAAATATTTTATAATTGCAGTTTTAGTCACAATGTAAATAAAAATAAGTCAGTGATTGAAAATATTTTATTTTGTTTTAAAATGTTTTCAGATGTGCCTTATGACCCTGCCTAGCTAGAATGCCCTGGTGCCCTTCTGAGGGTAACCAGAGCAGGAGCAAGTGAGGAGAGACGGAGTGCAGAATGTGTTACAAGCTGCTGGTCGCCCTCTTGCTAGCTCTTGTCTTCCTACAGTATGTGTACACAAGTTTGGGCGGGACCGGCTACTTGTATTCGCAGGGCTCTGCCCCGTTGGGGAACCTCGGGAGTGTAATGGGCAATTCTACTTCCACAACAAATTCTGTAAAGCATGCTCCTCTCTTCCCACCGGTAACTTCTATCGACAGTCTGGCTGGCAACTCTGATTACAGGAAGGACGTCAAGAACCTCACAGCTTGGATATTTTCACAGGTATTAATTTAATCAAAGTAGTAAAGTCTAGTCATAGTTTGTTAGCGAGGTTTTCAGGTGTTCTTTCCAAGAATGGCTGCGTATAATTCAATTTGTAAAGCCAGGAAGTCGATTTAGTTTTGGTCATCGACTGCCCTACATTCATTAAACCGATTATTTATTAGTTCCTCAGTTCAGTTTATTTACAGATATTAAAAATGTTCAAAATAAAAATACTTTCTCACACATATTATAATTTATTGTAAAATTGTAGAAATTTAAAAAAAAATCAGATTTTAAAAATACTGACAGAGACAGTACTTCCATATCATCTTATTTATTATAATATTTACCTCTTACTCAATCTTAATGACTTTTAAATAAAATCGTGCATCAATCTATAAATTATTATTTTTTTCAGATAACCCCGGTTAATTCTGCTCAACCAATTGAACTCTGCCCCTTAGTGCCTCCAAATCTCGGTGAGTCTCACCAATTTATTATTTATCTTAACCAATAGTCCATCAATTTCATTGTATCTGTTAACTCCTACCATTGATGAAAATTTTTATTTTATATACAAGCAATGATTATTAAAAAAATGAAATAAAAATGTACAGATTCATAACGTACAAGATATTAGAATATAAAAACTAAATTAATAAAAATATGGGTATTCAAATAATATAAATGTAAATATAAAAATATAGACATATAATTATAAAATTTAAATGAGTATAGGGAATATTAAACAGTGGGATAATAGAGGATAGAAATGGTTGGGATTTAAAGAGCAATAGTTTGCTACCAAAGTCAAGATCTGATTAGCTGAGGATATTTAAATAAAGGGATATTTTTAAGTTAGTTGGTTTTGTGGGAAGGAAGGAAGAACATTTTGTGAAAACAGAAGAGCATTGAAAGTGAGGAGGTAGTAGAATTGAGTACAGTCAATCAATACAATACACAATACTTTATTAGCATTGATATTAACAAAAAATAGAAACACTGATACAAAGTATAATAAGCATGGGTAGTAACTGTCTGCTAAGTTTACTGCATAATAAAGCTTACAAATATAGAAATATTAAAACAAAACAAATTCGAAGAGAAAATTTACATATAGCAGGTGTATGAATTAAAATAGATGGAATGTGTGGTGATTAGTGACCGTTAATCGATAATTATTCAGAAATCGTGAGATGCTGTCTGGTGTGATATAGGTTTCAGAAAAACATTTTCTTTATCGTGCCAACGTTTCGATCTTTATTGAGCCCTGAAGATGATCTCAATAAAGATTGAAACGTAGGCACGATAAAGAAAATGTTTTTCTGAAACCTACATCACACCAGACCGCATCTCACGATTTCTGAATAATAATAGATGGAAATATGAGAAAAAAGAAGAAAACAAAAAGAATTAAATAAGAACAAATTACTTCTTGAGAACTGATATAGTACTAAAAAAGCAGTAAAAACAGGGACAACAATTATTGCATATCTGAAAGCCACTTGTATCTCACTCTCCAGGCGTGCCGAACAAAGGAAATTAGAAGTAAAGGGGATATTGGTTAGAAAGAATATTCCAGTATTTCAACTCTGGTCTATTTACCCTTTCAAACACTACATTCATACAAATAAATACATCCATACAGTACACTCATTCCGTTTGATCGGTGGAGTACTTGATATTCCTCCACCGACCTATCGTCAGACAAATCTAGATTGGGGGCGATGAAGTGCTTTTATAAATATTCCTCCATTGACCCCGAACACACACTCACTCGCTTTCATCGTTCGAGGGGCGATGATGACGTTATATTTCACCCTCACCCCTCGCCATTCATGCTAATAAATACATGCACTCAGACAATTGGACTGTTATTGATTATCAGTTTTGGATATTGGTTATTTATCTTGAAGTGAGTATAATCAGTCAAATTATTACTAAATTTATATATTTTTTAAATATAAAATTATCTTCTGGGAGGTGAGAAATTTCTATTTAGCTGAAAACAATTGCAGATGTTTTGAGTATGATACATCCGAATAGGAATGATGTTAGTAAAGCGTTGAATAATGTTTCATAGAATACTTCTGTATATTAATGCTGAGAACATCAGATAATAAATAATGTTATATGTAATAAAAGTTGGAGTGCTAGGAGCTTTTAAAGATGGTGGATCACTGAGTGACGTTGAAAGCCGCATTGGGGACACCCTGCTTCCAGGAGGCCAGTGGAGGCCCTCAGGATGTAAAGCTAGAGACAAAGTTGCCATCATAGTACCGTACAGGTCAGTAGTTTCTATTTTACTACTGATTTTATTTTAATTAATTTTTTTTCTGTATTCCAGAGATAGAGTAGAGCAGCTTTCAGTTTTTCTTGCAAATATGCACCCTTATCTTCAGCGCCAGTTAATAGATTATGGCATCTTTATAATAGAACAAGCTGGTAAGCCTGTAACTTAATATCAAAATATAGACTATTATATTAACATTAATCATGCACACACATATACATAGAAAATATTGAAGCCCGTAATTGAAAGTAGCTGATTTTTTATTTATTATGGTATTGTACTCAGGTATTGGAGATTTCAACCGTGCGATGCTTTTGAATGTTGGCTTTGTCGAAGCTCTCGGTCTGCGAGAATTTGACTGCTTCATCTTCCACGATGTAGATCTACTTCCTGAAGACGATCGGAATCTATACACTTGTCCAGACCAGCCTAGGCATATGTCGGTTGCTGTGGATGTCTTTAATTATCGGTAAATAAATTGGTCCTATCTGTGGCGAAATAAAGCACTGATCATTTGAAATTTTACAGGTTGCCTTATTCCGACATATTCGGAGGTGTATCTGCTATGACTAAAGAACAATTTGAAAAGGTGAATGGGTTTTCGAACATGTTCTGGGGTTGGGGCGGAGAAGATGATGACATGGCAACTAGGATCAAAGTCGCTGGATATCACATAACCCGCTACCCGGTGTCTATAGCAAGATACACAATGCTTCCTCACACCAAGCAGAAGGCAAATCCAAAAAGGTACTCCGTAAAGCTTAAATTTTAGTTTTTTTCTTAAACTTAAATAAAACCGTGCTCCAGTTAAGCTTTAAATTGTTCACAGTAAATTTATTTTCATTCGATTTATTTACAGGTTTTAGTCAATTGGAAAATTTGACTTCAGTATAGGGAAAACAGTGGGGTGTGAAAAAAGGTGGTTTCTGGCTTTATATAAATTTTTTGCCTACTCTCTCTTTGCTTATGTTTTTGTTTCTCTCAATTTTTCCTTTGTTTTTAATCTTTGACTATTCCAGGTGTGCAAATTTGGTGTGAAACACCTTGCTTTTGTTATTTCTGCCACTTGTGTTTTGTGGACTTATATCAACCCAATTGCCATGCACATCATAATTGTTCTTTTTTATTTTAATTTCTATGTTTTAAACACACTTGATACTGTTTGGTCCGCACATTTTATTATTTTCAAAGTGTCTAATCCTGGCCTGATTTTTTTGTGTTTTTGAATCTCACTTGACAACGTATAAACTGGATAAAGAACGAAAAACTAGTTTTTGATGGGATATCCTCTTTTCAAATTTTTTAAATAAAATATTTAAAATATTTTTTCACCCTTTTACCCAGTGGGGAAACAAATATTCCCAAATTATTTATAACCTCAACTCTGATTAATTTTACATTCTTGTGGATTTTATAAGTATAGAGACAACAAATTAAATTTTAATTGTTTAACTTCTAATTCTAATTTAAATAACAACAAATTAACCATTCTTTCCACTAGAACCATGAGGTACACGATTTGCATATTGCTATATTATAAATGTGTTTTTCATGTGATTGATGCTTTCTGATGGATTTGCATAGTAGGAATCTTAATTTAAATTTTTTTTTTTAACAAGTTAGTTCACTATTAAATAAGAAAGAGTAAGATTTAGCCAACTAATTAAGGTTTTTAATTGAGATAAAAAAGTCAATGGTACGAGCGGTATTCAAACCCACGATCTTCGGCTAGATACGCCGCTGCTCTACCACTTGAGCTATCATGACCTCGATCCACTCGGACACTAACTACTTCCCATCTCAACCCCACCTTTTGAATTTTCCCTCCTTTTTGCCATTTTTCAATCTCTCAACTAACAACCTTAATTAATTGTAATATATTGTCAAGCGGACCACGAAATTAGTGAATTTAGCCAACTATTTACTCAATATGTCTTATTAAACTTGCTGACTGCTTCCTTAGGAGCAGGAATTTTTAATTTTTCAATATGCCATAAAATTACACAATTTTATACTAAAATTTACCATACTTTTCAAAACCGTATTGTTAATTGCTTAAATCTTAAACATTGACCAGTCTGATTATAAAAATACTTAATATCTAAATAAATAGTAATATTTTTCATGGATTTATGGACTGGTGTATATTTTAGTTATACATTTTTTTTTAAATTTCAGTTTTTGTGTTAAAGTGAAATTTTTCCTTGTTCAATTTTTTTAAAATTACAATTGCTTTTCGTAGTTTTCTAACGCTGACTTATTAACTTTCTATGGTTATTAGTTAATCTTGGCAACTGATGATAAAAGGAATTTAGCTGTTTTAAACAGACCAGTATTATATCGATTAATGTGTAACAGGATAGGGTTTTGTTTGGCATTTAATTTATTAGAAATGTTTCTAAGCAGCATTGCAAGGCGAAAAAGTGGCCATCTTTAATATTTTAAATTATCTCTTAGACAATCCTCCATTGATAATCTTACAACAATATTTGATCCATTTTAAAGGATTAGAGGTAAATAAAACACAGATAAAATCTCGCACTGTTTGCAATTGGATTTTGTAAATAAATCTTTGAATAGTCAATCTCTTCTTTATCCGTTTTTCTGTAAAACTTCTTTCTAGCATTCTGTTGGTTTGATTTTTTTAAGTTTCAAATTTGTTGAAGTGATGGTTTTAAGCGACAAAGATTCGGCTAGAATCATTGTTGGAAGATCAAAGAAGTTAGTATGTGGCTTAACATTCCCAGAACGATTGTCCAAAGGTTTTCCATCGCTACCAACTTACTCGAGGTTACTCATGAAGGCATGGATCATGTAACATCTCAGAGAAATGATTGTTTTCGATGTACATTGTACCACTGATAAGATGAAGTAATGACTTCGATGAGCTAGAAATGTTAATGTCAGTTTACACACTGTAAGGCGAGAACTATCAGAAGCTGGATTTTGGGCGAGAAGTCCATTGGTCTAGAACTTCTGACAAGACACAGAACGGTTCAATGTTTTGCAAGAAATCACATCAGGTCTGAGCAAGATTGGACTAAAAATCTTGTTTTCGGATGAGTCAAGGTTTATTTGAAGACTACTGATTGCCAAGAGAGGGTTTGGAGAAGAACAGGAGAGTGATATATCCCCGCAGCATGTTCACTCTGGAGAAGCTATGGAGGTGGTGGTTTTATGGTTTGGGCAAGCATTTCCATGGAAGGTTGATGACACTTGACAGGAAACTTGATTGGAAAGGTCATATTAATAACATATACACGAAAGGCACTACATCAATGGTACAATGTAGGAGAATTGTCGGTAAAACAAACCATGGCTAGCCAAATGGCTATATACTGCAATTATTCTACCTAGATTTTTTTTTGCAGCTTTAGTATGGTGGAAAGGTCTAGAAAACAAAGGGAATAGTAATAAATTAAGGTCATTTCAAAGATTAGGTTGTTTGATGATGACAGGAGCATTTTCAACTACACCCACCCTAGCACTAGAAATCATAACCAATACCACACCACTTCACATTGAGGTTAAGGTCAGAGCTCTAATCAGCTGCTACAGATTAATTAGCGAGGGCAGCTGGAATCATAAGTGTAATAACATAGGTCACTCGAAAATCTCTTAACTATTGAGTAAGGTTAACGGTCAATTATTAAGCGTGAGTGATAAAAAGATTTGGGGAAAAAGCACTTTCAGGTGTCACCCCTTGTGGTTATAATATTATACACTGGATGATGACCGTCGAAACATAGACTGCTACACAGATGGATCACTTATCAAAGGTAGAGGGAGTGGTGCAGGAATCTACATACCAAAATTAGGAATCAGCATCTCCTCCCCTCTTGGCAATAACATCTCCGTTTTTCAGGTGGAAATCTGGGCTATTAATGTGTGTTGTAAAACACGGAAAATAAAATTAAGGGAAAAGATATTAGAATTTTTTCTGACAGTCAGGCTAGTCTTAGGTCATTACAAAAAGATTTGTCAACTTCACGACTGGTGGAGGAAACTATAGATCAATAGGATCTCTTTCAGGTTTGAGAACAAGGTAACCCTTATTTGGTTACCAGCACATAAAGGACACCATGGCAATGAAAAGGCAGATGGCCTGGCCAAAGAAGGTTCTAATTCTGCCTTTATCGGTCCACAACCAGTATTACTTCACTCTATGAGCACAGCGAAAGAGAGTATTAATAGCTGGGGCATGAAACAATTCCTTAGGGAGTGGAATTTATCCCCTGGACACAGGGAATCGAAGAGTTTGTTAAGGTGATCAAACCAGCAGAATCGAAATGGCTATTCTCTATCTCAAGGAAGGGAAGGAGGCTGATAGGTATTCTGACGGGCCACTGCCCACTGAGAAGACACCTCTTCATAATGGGTATCCAACCAGATCACTTTTGCCGTTTTTGCGAAATAAAAGAAAAAACGGCAAGGCATTACCTGTGATAGGTATGCTAGGTCTAGATTTCAAATCTGAAGGAGAGGACATCACCAAATCACTTCCCGAGATTAAATGGTTCAAAATCTTGGGGTTTGTGAACAGGTCCAAGAGATTTATGCAGGACACGTGAGCTGACCCGGACCTTTTAGGGATAGGGTACAAGTCTACCAAGGCATTTAACCCTTTGTTAACCCTTTGGGTGGTCTCCCACCCTGCATAATATATATATATATATATATATATATATATATATATGGAAGGTTGCACAAATTTGATCTTCATCGAGGGTTCCTTGACAGCTACGATACATTGAAGATTGGAAGTTGTTTCTTATTTTTTGTATGACAATTTAAAGCTTCATAAGCTGCTATCGGTGCTGACTACTGTTACAAGCTTCAATTCATTGTTTGGAATGGCCAGCATGTATAAAAAACTCTATCGAACACCTTTGGGACGAGTTGTCAAAGAGGGTCAAAAGTTGCCCAGTGATGCCAGAGAATTTGCAGGAATTAAGAATGGAGGATTATGAAAATATCCCACAGCATTATTATGTTCAAAACATCATAAAATGGATGTCATATTGAAAGCAAGTGGTGATCAACACAAGAGGAGGAAATACTCCATACTGAATTTTCTTCATTGTATTCGTAGCAACATTTTTGGTAAATTAATTAAGGTTTTTAGTTAAGATAAAAAAAGTCAATGGCACGAGCGGAATTTGAACCCACGATCTTCAGCTAGATACGCAGCTGCTCTACCATTTGAGCTATCGTGACCTCAATCCACTCGGACACTAACTTCCTATCTCAACCCCACCTTTTGAATTTTCCCTATTTTTTGCCAATTTTCATTTTTTTCGAATCCCGCTCGTGCCATTGACTTTTTTATCTCAACTAAAAACCTTAATTAATTGTAATATATTAATTGGTCAAGCGGACCACGAAATTAGTGAATTTTTGGTAAAATTGTTTTACTGTTTAATTTGTGATTTAATTTTTTTATAGCTTATGTTTTTCTTTAAAAATATCTTATAATAAAAAACAAAACAAAAACAATAAAATAAAACAAATGAAATAAAAATTGTAACAATTGCAAGATTTACTTAATAGTGTATTATTTATTATTTATTTAATTAAATTATTTACAATAAATTAACTTTTTTTATAACTTATTTAGTTAATAAAAAACTAATTAAAAAAATGAGGGTGGCCACTTTTTTTGCCTCTCAATGTATGTAAAAGGGTGATTGATTTATGTTCTACACAAATTGGATAAATGTAAAATTATGCTTTGGTTCTTCACTTTTATTCTTCTTTGTTTTGAAATTTGATCACTTGAGTTTGCAGAAGTTCGCGAACAATGTTTCTATTTACCTCTGCCGATTGATTGTAAATACCTGTTCTGCATGTGCTGAATCAGGGTTTATTTTGAATGTTTTGGGTTCTTTTATTTGGAAACATTTTAACCTTTTTAACGTTCTTCTTTGAAACGAGATAATTTTATCTTAATGAAAATAATGAAAAAACTATTTTACACTTTTTTTTTTATGTACTGTCATAAATTTATCAATAACGAAAACACCCGATTGCAGGTTCGAAAATCTCTACAATGGGAAGAAGAGAATAAAAATCGATGGCCTGAACAGCCTTCAATACAGAAGGGTAGAAATGCGACTCAGCAAGCTTTTTACATGGGTTCTAGTCGAACTTGCCAAAACCAACTAAAAGAGTATTTCAAAATGAAGACTTTTGGTCAAATATTCAATTATTTATGTGGGAGAGCGACTGTTGCTTTTTTTCCCCCAAAGCCAAGTTGTCATTGTTTGTAAAGCCAGTGTTTTATTTGGTTATTTAAAATGATTATTTATTATGTAATGATTTATTTTGATATTGTATTTTTTTTTAAAAGAAATTTATTTAGTTTAGTGCCTCTAGTCTAGAGACAGAAGCATACTTTGTGATAAATCTTTTTCATATAAAATTCGATACTTTACATGTATAAATTTAATCAACATTTTCAATCTTCAATCTTTATTAGTTTAGTTTATCAGGATAGCATGATATATTTTGTATGTTATATTATAAAATACTTGAATTGCCTATCATATCAATTATATACAAGTAGAGAGCACATCACATTTGAATATGCAACGTTGTGTGATATAGTAAAAAAAATGTCTAAAGACTGATTTAAAAATGTTTTGAATTTTGGCCTTTCACTAAATTCATCAAAACGCTACCATTGTATTTATTTAAAATATAAATTTATATTTCTAATGTTCACTGTTAAACTATGATTAAAAGTGGTTAATTTATTCACGAACAATGGTACACCGCTTGCTCCCCAAATAAATATTTCCAGTGTTTGACTCGATAATGAGAATTACTTGTGTGATAGACTGAGAAGATTGGTCTTAGTGTTCCATCCAGTGATATTTGTCAATAAATAAAAATAGGAATTTTTAGGTGTAAATGATCATGTTTAAACGCAATAACACAGTAGTGCCTTATTAGCCTTACAAGTTTGCCATATTTCTTTCTTTCTTTTTTGACGGTAAAGATGCATGCTTGATAAAAGGGGAGTAATGTAAACACATCATAAATGTTTTTGTAGGACCACTTTTGTGATTGTTATATGATCTTTTGTATGTAATACTCATGGTATATTATATTATACCAATTAATTAGATAGGAAAAAGACTTGTAATTACATGAGGTATGAAATTTGTTTGGAACTTATTTCTACTTGTTGAATGTTAACAAATGCTCAATGTGAGACTTTTAAAAAAAATTTATTATACTTCAGCCACTAAAACAAAGTGTCATGATTTGATTTTTTTTTCACCACCGAATTATTGGTTTTCGATATAAAACAAAACTAAGTTTTATTGCTTCTTGATTGTAAAATAAATTTTAAACAGCCACAAAATATGACACTGTTTTAGTTCTCAGACATTTTATATTAAAAGTACTTGCATCATAGAATTTATTAATTACCAATGATAAACATTTCATGATTTTCGAAATGTCGAAGCTAGTGATCATAGACTAGGAAAATTTTATGCATGCTACTTTATCTGAAAGAATACACTTTGACCTTCATAATATTTCTTACGTAGCATGCCAATATTGTCCAAATTTATCTTAAAAAAATTTTTGGGTTTAAATAATGTGAATCTTCACAGCAAATTCACTCTTATAATGCAAATCTTATAAATGACCTACTGTCATTAGTACTTAACAGATTTTAAATAGAAGAAAAATAAAGCATGTTGATGATGTCACTTTTACTTGTTGGTTCATTCTTAACATAATTATAAATTACTAGTATTCATAAAAAAAATTGATAAAAATAATTAGTGAGATTCAAAATCTTTTTTGTATTATTAATCTATTGTATATAAATAACTATAAAATTTAAGTCCGATTTACTTAATGAGTGATTTTCTCATGTTTTCATCGACTCGAATTATTTCCTTTACATTATTTAAAATTGATTTTATCGTAGTAAAATATATTTCAGGATTGTGCCTTATTTATTTGATAAAATTTTCAAAAAACTTCCTTTAAAGCTTGTGACGAAAGAGTTAATCACGTATCCAATCCTGGCCTGTGTAAATCGGACTTGAAGCAGAACTGGCCTGCCAGACCCCGGCTTTCGTACCGGGCTCGCGGCACGTCGTAATCTCTCGCAGGACTTGCGTCTTGTCTAAAGTTTGTTACTCATGTTTGAGATCAATTGTAAATTGAAATAATAGAATATTGTTCACTTGCATCTATCTAGTCCAAGACGGATAATTATTGTCTTGTAAACACAAATAAAAATATTTGAGATTTTTTTAAAATACTAATCCCGCAATAAAATTGGTATTAAGGGCTTTTAAATTGCTTTTTATGTTTAATGATAAAATAACCTTAAAAGCACTTTAACAGTTTTCAAGTTAAAAAAAAAAATTTGTAGAAGGTGTGAAAGCTTTAAACCTTGAAAATGTTAATTTTTCAATCCAGCAACTTTAATGGCAAACCAAATGTTTAGTTAGTAGTCATAATTGATCATATTAAGTATTTTAATTAATTATACATATAAAAAATATTTATACATATAAAAAAATTAATTTACAAAAGAATTATCTCTATTGCTACTTCAAACAACATCTTACCAGATAATTTGGCATTTGAACCCATCATTACACTACTCATCAACTTCACAGAGTTACAGATTTCATTACTTCATGTCTCGAGCAGAAACCGTATGCGACTGTGTTTCTAGATGTTTCTTAGGCCTTCGACAAAGTGTGGCTTGAAGAACATACAAATATTTTTATCCCCAGCCTACTATCTGATAATACAATCATAACTCAAAGAGGGATTTTTCGCTGTAAACCCGGTATCAGAGGCTTCTGAAAGGAAGTGCTTTCTGGAGTGCCACAGGGGTCGATACTCGTTTCGCTATTGTACACAATTTTTACTTCTTACATGCCCACAAATGAGAATGCACATACTGCCAAATACGCAGATGACACCGCCATATTAACAAGTCATCCCTCTTCTTTTTTATTTAATTGGGGGGGGGAGTAAAAGTTAATTTGGTGACCCCCCCCTCTTCTAAACAAGCTTTCCTTAAGTCACACAATCACATATCACCAATTGAAATTGGAGCAATCTTTGGAAAATAAAGTTAACCTCTCAAAGTCACAACATAATATCACATTTATACTGCATGGTTAGAATTTTTTTTTTTTTTTTGGTTTATGCTGGCATATTACCCATGAAGTTTTCTATTTTCATTTTACTGTCGAGCGGGATCGGCCGACCAGGACCAGGTCCCCGCCGCGCGCCCACTCATTCAGCTCCATCATCTTCTCATCTTCTAAATTTTCATGGTTGAAGATAATCAAAAAGAAACGTTTATCGACTTTAGAAATCCATAGATTATGTTGAAAGCTGATGGATTGTTGCTTACTAGGACAGATTCTAAGTTTATTGGTTCTGGACATTCAACAATTATGTGGGAAGGATTTGAAGGGCAATCGCAAGTGGGACAGTTCGGAGACGATGCCAAACCGATTCTCTTCTTGTAGCTACCCCAAAGGCCATGATTTGTCTTCAGTCTAAAAATAGTAGAATAGAACTCCTTTGACATTCCTTCTGGGCTATCGCTTTCCGAAAACCATGGTTTTTTCTTGAGCTCAGGGAACAGTGATCTGTAATAATTGCCAACATTTGATGCGTTGTATTTTTCTTGCCACAGATTTTCTACAAAACTTTTCCAAAAAGTTTTTCCCGTCATCTTTAGGAATTTTAATGTCAAGGGTGGACCTGATGTGGCAGCCTCCTTTGCAAGTGCGTCCACCGTTTCATTTTGCCATAAGCGTGCATGCCCTTTCACCCAACACAATGCCACCCTTTTTCCCATGATATTTGTCTCAAGCATTTTCCTACAGATTTGGGCAAAAATATAGTTTCTGCATTTATATGCTGGGGTAATGTTATTTATCCTTTCTACAATGCTTCGACAGTCTGTGAGGATACAAAATTTAGAATCACCCAATTTTCGTATGTAATCGAGAGCGCTATCTATTGCAATTAGTTCTGCTGTATAAACAGACATTGAAGTTGGAAGTGAATGTTGTTCCTTGTATTGACTTATCCTAGCATATACTTATACAATAAACCTGTACTTCAATCTGACAAAGTTAACTATTTAGGACTTAATTTGATAGAAGGCTAACTTGGAATCCACACACATGATTTAAAAAAAGACACTTAACAAACGATTTAAAATGCTTTTTTATCTACTCAACTGACAATCTAAATTACCGTTAAAATCAAAACTTCCGACTTAAACATACCTACTCAAACATATTTGGATGTATGGGTGCCAAGCTTGTAGATTGGGGTGGTTAGGGATGGTTAGAAAAAAATAAAATAAAAATTGTAAGTTTCAATTAATTAAGGTTTTTAGTTGAGAGAAAAAAGTCAGTGTCACGAGTGGGATTCGAACCCACGATCTTCGGCTAAATACACCGCTGCCCTACCACTTGAACTATCGTGACTTCGATCCACTTGGTCACTAACCTCCCACCTCAACCCCACCTCAACCCCACCTTTACGAATTTTCCCTCCTTTTTGCCATTTTTCAACTAAAAAATCTCAACTTAAAACCTTTATTAATTGAAAGATATTAATTGGTCAAGTGGACCATGAAAACTAGTGAATGGAAAAATTATAAGCTTTATCAAAGGTCTTGGTTGATACGAAAAAGATATTGCCACAAGCAGGATTCAAACCCACTACCTTTGGCTAAATACTTTATTCGATGGTCATGGGTTCGAATCCTGCTCTTGACACTAGCTTTTTCATATCAACCAAGACCTTAGATAAAAAGTATAATTAATTAAAACATCAAATGGTAAAATTAATTTTCAAACAGGAATAAACTCAAGAATCAAGACAGGAAATCTCCAGTTTAGTAAAAGAAATGTAAAATAATTGACCATTTTTTTTACAATCAGTTAAAGCAGATTGCAGATTATCTAGAAAAACTTTTAAAGATTCAGTTTTGTATTCTTCATTAAGCTTTTTATTGAAGAATAATTAAATAAAATAATTATTTACAGTTTCATTAAAATGGAAACAATTATTCATCTTCGAAGAGTTTGTAGGCGACTTGTGCTGAGGTAGTTTTCGCTTTCTTTCCCTGGAAAAAAGAATATCTTTTTGTTGAAGTTGAGTTATCATTTTTAGAGTTTCTCTTGAATACACGAGTTTTTCTTTTCACAAGGAATGCTTGTTCTTGCTCTGAACAGGGGTTTGATGATGTGTCCGTTGATTCTCTTGTTGCTTGTTTGGAAGTTTTAGTTGTTTCCATGACCTCTACACAAGGTTCACTCTGGAAATGTAACAAATCTTCACTTTTTCTTTTTCTTATTGTTGATCTGATCGAAGATTTCCTTACATCACTTAACCTACAACATTTAAGCTGATGGCTAATCGATTTAGGAGTCTGTTTAATATTAGGTGGTTCAGCGAAAAGTTTTTCTCCTAAGAATTGTACATTCGACTGTTCGTCTTGTTTTAACACAGGTGTCAATGCGGTTCTAATCGGTGCATAGCAAAATGGTTTTGGGTCAAAATCTGTCTGCATCGCTCCATCCATTTTTGTTAAATCGACCGAGCTGTTTTTAGGTGTTGGTAATAAAATGGATTGTATTTTTTTTCTCTTGTCTAAATCAGACTCACTGGAATTATCAGTGCTCTTCTGGCTAGTTCTGAACCTCGCCTTCATTTCTGGAGGGGTTTTTAATTTTTTTATTAGATGTGAAGTTTCTGAATCTGAAGAATCAATATCTGTATTGGATGTAAGGTAAGGTACTTTTGTGGCAGTTTGCCTTTTTTCATTGATCTGTTTAATATCAATCCCAGTTTTATGTTCGACCCTTTTTTCAATGCATTCCTCATTATTATCACTGGTTCTCTGGTCATCGTTCTTACTCGGTATAAGGCGTTTTAAAATTTTTAGTCTAGGGAATATTTCCAATACGCCAGACATTTTTTTATGGAACAAACTTTTCGAAGTAGACACTTTATCTTGCTTTCTTTTAGCAGCTTCCTGGCAATGTAAATAGATTATAAGCAAATGATATTAGGAATTTTAATATATACCTACGTTCTGAGTAAAAACATCATTGACTCTGATTTTAGAAGGTTCAGCCTTTTCTTCAACTTCGAAAGATCTTGAAAATGGCTTGTAACCAAGGGTACGCTTTTTTTTCTGATATGAATAATCCAATTCATCATCAGAAGTAGGTCCTGTAAAATTCAGTAGTAATATCTATTTTACTATAATATATGATATTCCTTTTTATTGACTCACCTGTTCTCCCACCGTCTGAATCTGATGTTTCATAATTGAATCTGATTTTTTCATGCTTCAATCTTTTCAGTGGAAATTCCTCTCCATTGTCCACATCGCTCGAGTCCCTGCAAACTGACCATGTCATTTTCATTATACACTGCCACCGGCAGTTATTACATTTCTTCACTCATGTCTGAAATGTCGCCGTAATTAATCGGCGACTGACAGATGGTGCAGACTTTTTTCAATTCGGTGTAGCATTGTGTACAGTACACGCCGACACAATTCGGCGTTTCGCATTGTATCAACGGTTCGACGCTCGTCTTGCTCACCGATCCACAGACGACACACGCCTTGGGTTGTTTCAAGCCGCACAATTTGGCTATTATTGGACACCTAACGTGAAAAAACTTGATAATACGACAGTCGAATTTAGTACATGATTATCTGAACATGGCAAAATATATTATAAATGGTTAAATATGCCAAGCTGAAACTTACATTACAGCTTCCACTACAAAACATGTTTAAATATAATTTTTTAAATATTTTAATAGTGATTCTAGAGATTTAATGATGAGCACATGGTTAAAACATAAACTCCTGTCTATAAGGCTAAAATAGGCAAACTAATTTTTACATAGTTGGTTTATTCCAACATTCTATATCCCTTTTTGGACTTTCATTTATCATTTTATTATTTATAAGAAATAAACGACCATAGTCAGGCAGAAATTTTTTTTGTTATTTTGAAATTTAATTTTTATATCAGTGTTCTGAATAAAGCTATATTACACAGTTGTTATGATCATAAAACAAATTTTAAAAAAAACATATGTTCTAGCTTTTTATTACTAATGGTTAGAGAAATGGCCAATTTAATATTTGATTTATTATTATTTAAATATTACCTGTATCTCAACTGATCCATAAATAGCATCTGATCGCCTTTGTAATCCAGACCGTACTTTTTTCTCAATTGCCTCCTTGTATACTTGACGAAAGTGCTCCTACGTGAATTAATATGATTGTACAACCAGACAGATCTCTTACGAGCAACATCTGGGTAGTAATAGCACATAATCCAATTTCTCAAACGGAGTCCATAAGCTTCCAATATCGACAGTAGCCAACAGAGTACTATCAGTGATACTGAAAAATTATGCAATTTTGTTTGGGAGTCAAAAATAAATAAACATTTTTGTGGATATTTTTTGATGGTGTCCATCCTGATTTTGAGGAAGTATAATAAGATGATGGGTAGGAAATAAATTGACTTTTCCAAAATAGGCATTTATTTTGTCAGAAGCCTTTCAGTCTAATATAGACCATCTTCAGAGCCTTTTATTATGGATACTAAAACCAAGCTAATTAAGTTATTTTTAAATGAAAGATTTCTTTTTAAAGTATGTGAGATGATAAACCTAAAACTTGGTTGGTTTCTAGTCTGAACATTCTCACTGTTTTATCTAACCAGCAATAAAAATTGAAACTGGAAATGAAAAAACTACACAATAATTAATCAAATTCACTATTTTTCTGCTTGTCCAATTAAAACATTCAATTAATTAAGGTTTTAAGTTGAGATAAAAAAGTCAGGGTGGGGCTGGGTTCGAACCCACGACCTTCGGCCTGATACGCCGTTACTCTACCACTTGAGCTATTGTGACACGACATAAGGAGGGAAAACTCAAAAGGTTGGAATGAGATGGGAAGTTAGTGTCCAATTGGATCGAAGTCACGATAGCTCAAGTGGTAGAGTAATGGCGTATCAAGCCGAAGGTCGTGGGTTCGAATCCAGCTTGTGACACTGACTTCTTTATCTCAACTTAAAACCTTAATTAATTGAACAATAATTAATGTTATTTTCCAATTTTGTTGGTATTTTAAACCAAACAAAACCAAAAATTAAACCAAAAATTTTTTTTCCTGTTTTTTATTCACAAGAGGTTTCGCAACAGCAGAGGTTATATCAACCCTCGGGGTGCCAGTGTTTTTGAAAAAAAAAGCCCATTTGTAAGTATGTCGGGTTCGAATGCAGGGCCGCTGGCCTTACTGTGATGAGCGCCGTGTCAACGCCTAAACCGTTGCGGCCACCGACGCCCCTAACCATCCCCAAAATTTTAAACATCAGAAGAGAAAAAAAAAGAATTTTAACATTTTTAAAAAAGAATAATAACAACCAAAATAAATTCGACAATCAACTGATCTGCAGCTGGACTTTTGGAGGTGAAATAATTTTATCAGACCATATGGAAGTATGAAGACATAAAATGGCAGTGATAAAATTTGAATATAGTATGTACCAATTTGCCTATAAATGGCCATATCGGGTGGTTTCGGATCAGGCAGGCATGATGTAGTGTCACGTTCGATGCTGAGGTTTTCAGGTTGAAACGCTTTTACAATACTCAAATAAATATCAGCCAGAATTCCTTTGCCGTTTACTTTTATCTCTACTTCTGGCGTAGCTGAAAAACCAAAACATTAGAATATTTTCTGATATCTGTTTTTTACTACTAGGACAGTAAAATAATGTTCTATGCAAATATACCGTCAAAATCTGTTTGAAACTGTCCATGGTATCGGATCATGGACAATATCCAGAACAAACTGTAGTCAGCCAGCATGTGAATGGACAGTTTGATTGTCGCCAATGTAAGATAAATAGCAGTTTTGATCAATTGTTGTTTTTCGCTTTGAACCAGACAGAGTGAGTTTATCTAAAAATTCTTTCGATAAAATAAAAACTTAAGTGTATTAGAAAATGGGAATTTTACTTACTCTTATATATTTTCTCTTTTCATGAAGGGTCAAAGGTAAAAGTGATTCCTTTCCCATGTAAGTCCTTTTCAGATCAATTTGAATAAAATTGTCCGTTATGAAACGATTATCATACCAATCTTTCAGCAAAAAATCTCTTCTATATTTAAGTGTCCTAAACCAAAAAACAATAATTTTACGAAACTTTTTTCTCTTTTTTTTAAATGAAACTGAACTGACTGAAATATTGTATAGAGAAAAAAGAAGCTAAATGCAAAACTCATCCAGTCGAAAAGTGCTAAAATTGCACTAGTACGTGCTCTTATTTCTCCAGCGATTCCTGCGGCAATGTCACTGGCATTTTTCGAGGGTGTTTCTTCATATTCAAGTTTGTGCTTGAATTCGACTGACACGTAAAATATATTCTTGATGTGATGAGAAAACTCTTTCAGTCCTTAAACAATTAAAATTAAAAAAAAAAAAGATATTTTGTTTATTTACACAAAAGTATCAAATTTGTTCTTCTTATAAAGAATTCGCAATAATTTGATATGAAAAGTACTGCCATTTTTTTTGAAAATTTGTCTTTGTATTTCTTGTCTTGGCTTATTGTGGATCATTTGTACATAATTTTGACAAAAAATACAAACACTACGCTTTAATTGGTTTAAGAATACAATGGTCTTAATAATCCCTCAATAATCATAGGGATTAATCACACAATCACTTCTGCCAAGAAAATATTGAAATTTAAATGGGGGGGGGTGTCTTACCACATTTATTTTATAATTGTTTTAGTTTAGCCCTATCAACCATATTCAAGTATGTAAATAAATTAAGGTTTTCAGTTGAGATAAAAAAGTCAATGAGCGGGATTCGAACCAACGATCTTCGGCTTGACACGCCGCTGTTCTACCACTTGAGCCATCGTGACCTCGATCCACTCGGACACAACCTCCCATCTCAACCACACCTTTTGAATATTCTCTCCTTTTTGCCTTTTTTCCATTTTTTATCTCAACTGAAAACCTTAATTAATTGTAAGATATTTATTGGTCAAGCGGACCACGAAACTAGTTTATTAACTAAGTAAACTAGTTAATTTAATATGTAAATAAAATGTCATTGTCTTAAATTCAGCCTCAAACGCAGTAACAGCAATAGGCATAATGAACTGTTTTATATTTAATAAAATCCGATGTTTTTATTTTAAATTATCTTACTTCTTTTAGTCATTTGCACAAGATCGTCACTAATAAATTCAAAACCTACGCATACGTAATCGATGAATTTCACTGAATAGCAAACCAAGTTGGAGACGTATGTGATCGAGCACATCCAGTGCAGTGAAGGAGGCAGTTTGTCCTGTTGGTATTCAAAATTTTGTAAGACAAAGGGCAACTTTTGGACAAAGGACTCACCTTGCAGTCGAGCACTGCGCTTTCCAAAGCTGCAACACATCGCGCATAGGGTGTTCCAATTTTTTTGTTACAAACCCCAGCCACGCTGTTGAGCCAATCGAACGCCGATTTAATGACACCCACTAAAAAAAATAAATATTTGAAACAATAATGAATGCTTTGTGGTCAGTGTATTGATCTGGATCTTACATAAATCCAATATTGTTCTTGTCACAGTTGAAACAAGATATTTAATCTTTTTAAAAGTTCCTTTGATTTTAGCCATTATTTGTTCGATTGAATGTTTAATGGCAATGAACGGTTTCTTCACCATATCCAACATTGATCGAATCCCTCTTTTCAGTTTTTCCTGAACATTTAAAATCGTATATTTTCATATAATCACTAGCAGTTATACTGTTATTGTTTTTATTTTATTTTTTAAATTTATTCTGGCCTGTTATGTTCGTCGGTTCATTTTCTCTTTATGTTGTGCAATGTTTGAATGCATAAATAAAGTGTTGGGTTGTTGTTGACTGGCGTGTTTACATGTTTTTTCGTGTTGTATTTACATATTTCGTGTATATCCATTTGGTAGCTATTTTAAACTTGGTGAAATAAACGTGTTTCGACATCACGCCATCTTCAGTGAGGTACTGGACTCGCAGATCAACTACCATCACCATGTTTATATTTTTTTAAAACTTGTCTGTATTGCTGAAGGTTGGGGCTTTTGAGATGAGATTGTGTGATTTTCAGTCATTGCCCCTACATTATATTATTTGTTGTTTATTGTACTTTTATTGTCCTGCCAGTCGCAATTTATGTACAGTTTTCGTTTAAATTGTTTTGTCGATGTTTTGTCTCTAACGTTCTCCAATTGATAGTTTTTGTCTCCAATCCTAACGTCATTTCGTCTTTGTAATCAATGATTTCAAAAGGAAAATATTCTAAAATATTTGAACTTTATCAACATTTAAGTTTTCATAAATCCGTAAAGGATTTCTAATTGTTTCATTTATTTTCTTGAAGTCCGTGATGCTGTCTTCTTCGGTGGTTTGTCTGTAATAGGTCATCGCCAGCCCTCTCTTCCTTAGCTTTGCATTTTGTTTCTTATCATTCTCGGGGTTTACACATACTAATTTCTTTTACTGATTCTCCAGCCATTATACGATGTTTTATGATATAATGACAACCAGCTCTCTCTTTTCTTTAATCTATTGTTAGCATTTTTTTACTCTCCTCGGGGCTTGGATAATTGTGAATAAAGTAATACAAATATACAGAAAAAAGATAAAAATAGTCTGGTTAGCATTCACACTACCCCAGGGTACCCGAATTGGGGATAAGCCTTTCCAGTCACGCTAATAAATTACATCACACTACTCCATAGTAGTTAATATTGCTCGTGGTAATGCGGGATAAACCTCTACAGTCATGCTAATAAATTATATCACACCACTCCTGAGTTCTTCACATTCCTCGGGGTAACTGGACATAAACACTGCTATTCACGCTTACAAATTACATGCATACATTCATCCACACTACCCTCTAGTAGTTAATGTCCCTTGGGGTAATTGGGGATAAACCCCTCTATGCACAATAACCAATTACATTCACATTTCGCAGATCATTCACACTACCCAGAGTACTTCATACTCCTCGGGGAATACGAGATAAGCCTCTCCAGTCACGCTAATAAATTATATCACACCACTCCAGAGTACTTCACATTCCTCGGAGTAACTGGACATAAACTCTACTATTCACGTTTACAAATTACATGCATACGTTCATCCACACTACCCCATAGTAGTTAATATCCCTTGGGGTAATTGGGGATAAACCCCTCCATGCACAATAACCAATTGCATTCAAATTTCACAAATCATTCACACTACCCAGAGTACTTCATACTCCTCGAGGTAATACGGGATAAGCTTCTCCAGTCACGCTAATAAATTACATCACACTACTCCAGAGTACTTGACATTCCTCGGGGTAGCTGGAAATAAATCCTGCTATTCACGCTAATAAATTACATGCATACGTTCATTCACCCTACCCCATAGTAGTTAACGTCCCTTGCGGTAATTGGGGATAAACCCCTCCATGCACAATAACCAATTACATTCACATTTCACAGATCATTCACACTACCCAGAGTACTTCATACTCCTCGGGGAATACGAGATAAGCCTCTCCAGTCAGGCTAATAAATTATATCACACCACTCCAGAGTACACATTCCTCGAAGTAACTGGACATAAACCCTACTATTCACGCTTACAAATTACATGCATACGTTCATCCACACTACCCCATAGTAGTTAATGTCCCTTGGGGTAATTGGGTATAAACCCCTCTATGCACAATAACCAATTACATTCACATTTCACAGATCATTCACACTACCCAGAGTACTTCATACTCCTCGGGGTAATACGGGATAAGCTTCTCCAGTCACGCTAATAAATTACATCACTTGAGTACTTGATCATCCAGAGTACTTGACATTCCTCGGGGTAGCTGGAAATAAATCCTGCTATTCACGCTAATAAATTACATGCATACGTTCATCCACACTACCCCATAGTAATTAATATCGCTCGGGGTAATTGTGGATAAACCCCTCCATGCACAATAACCAATTACATTCGCAATACCCCAGAGTACTACATACTCTTCGGGGTAGTACGGGATAAGCCTCTCCAGTCACGCTAATAAATTCCATCACTTGAGTACTTGATCATCCAGAGTACTTGATATTCCTCGTGGTAGCTGGAAATAAATCCTGCTATTCACGCTAATAAATTACATGCACATGCCAAATAATTCTCATTTCACCAAAGTGCTCGTATTTCTCGGGGTAACTGGGGGATAAGTCCCTCTTTTCAAGCAAATTAATATATTTGTTCCTATAAATAACACTATCACATACATGAAGGTGCAAAGACCTTTATTTATGGCGCTGAGTTATTGGATCAGCGATTTTACTGGTGGGTGATTTGTTGTTTGTGTATTTATGAGTTTCTTCGTGTTGAATGCGCTGTGCTTGCATATTTCAAGGTTTTAAAATATGAACATGTTTCGTATTTTTTTGTACATCATGACACCACGATGCAAAACTCGTCTGTACTGTTTTGCGGGTTTTTTGTGATGTCTATGTGGGTTTAATAATTTACTTTTCGTCGTTGTTTCTAAGTTTCGCTTAAACGTTATTGTTGGTAATATTCAAATAGGAAGAATGATTTTTTCCAATTTCAAATTTAAATTGAACTCATTACACATCTAGTCCTTAATTCCTAATGTGACGAATGCGTACCTGTTCGCAGACCATGCTTTCCGACAGCACCCTGGCGTTGTGCAAAGCGTTTCTAGCCGGACCCGTAAGAACGAGTATAAAGGCATACGCGATGAGCGCCTGTCTTCCTTTTTTGCTGAAAAGCTGTGGAAACACCATCAACACAATGCATCTACAACGACGAATAAATGGGTTTTGTTCGTTCGGAACCAGAAACTGTATTCACCGGAGGATTTACCTGAACCTCCTGGAAAACGCGAGCCCCAAACTGAGCATGATCCCGAAAATCGAGCATATCACCGTTGCCGATGCAAACGAGAAATTGAGCTGAAGGATGAAAAATACAAACAAGAGATACGTGAGACACACTCCGCCTGAAAAAAAATCCGTTGATGGAAAACGGTTCAATCGACAAAATAAAATCAACGAATCGATCTTACTGATGAATCCGACAGCACTCTTCAGCAAATAGTTTTCCAAAGTGCCTTCTTCAAACAGCTTGACGTAAAATTTCTCGCATTTGGACATTTCCGTACCGTACTTGGCACCTCTGCTCCCGCCGATACAGCTTGGACAGGTTCTGCAATTCACAAACGTAGAGGTATAATTTTTCACAAAAAAAGTAAATAGTAATTATTGCAAGGGTGCAAATAAACGCGATATATTGAAAGATAATGATAGGAGATTATTCGAATTGTTGGGGTCTGCGGTTGCTGAGGGGTTAGGTTGTCTAATTTGCCACACTAGTGGTCCTAGGTTCGAATCCCCGGCATAGCCCATGGTTAATTTTGAATATAAGGAGAAATTATTGTGAAGTGGTTTGACCCTTGTCCGCGACACTCAACAGATAGTTGGACTTAAAATCTTCCTGCATATCGGAATTTCTTAATTTTGCAAGTTATAACTGAATAACAAAAATATTGGTGGACAAAGGTGGGTAAATGTGGCCAAAGAAAATATTTATAATTTTAAATCTTCGCCTAGCTTTCGGAACTTTATTTTACGTTCTTCAGGAATGAAAATGATATATTATACAATTTTGGCCAATTTAACATCTTATATATATNGAGAATCGGACCATGGACAATATGAACTTTTTTGTTCATTTTAGGGTGAAGAATCTACTGGAGAAGTTTGTAGCACGAGTAGCAATTCACCCTGTATATATACCCCCTCTCAATACATATCTAAGAACAAGACACATTTTTATACTTACTGATTTTTAGTCAGAAGTATATAAAATTAAATCTTTGTATTTTCTTTTTCTTTTTTCTTCACCTTTTCAACTATGAAATCACTAGACTAGTTTTATATATCACAGATAGTAAAAATAAAAATAAAAACAACAATGGGGGGGGGGTGGCCGGAACGGTTTAGGCGTTGACACGGCTTGTCACTGTAAGGTGAAGGTCCCGGGTTCGAATCCAGCGGCCCTGCATTCGAACCCGTCATACTTACAAATGGGTTTTTTTCAAACCCAGGCACCCCAAGGGTTGATATGACCTCTGCTGTTGCGAATCCTCGTAAAAGGAAAGAAAAAAAAAACAACAAAGACTAGTGTGAGGTTTTTCTCAGGTACGGTTTATACACTGTAACTAGTGTAGTCAAGTCCTTTTGTAAAGCCTGATGAATAAAATGCCCACAAAACTGATTGATTGTTATCTTTAAGTATTATATTTAAATATCTTTAGCAAATAGTATTTAAATAAGGTTTTTATAACTTTTGAAGATAGGCTTTTTTTCTGTGAATTCTTATTTTTTACTTTTTTGAGGTGTGGACGTTGAATGAGGGTTTTGCAGGCTGGAAAGTGCACTTTTTTCTATCCTCAGAGCCTCTTGGAGTACCACTTTTGGTGTGAGAATTGTCTTACCGAAGTGGATGTGCGGTGACAGGGCTAGCTTCACATTCACAGTCTTTGATTCCTCCCGATAGACTCGGCATATCTCTGCGTTGTCCATTTTCTTTAGATGGTAGTTAAGAGGGCACTGGTCAATATAGAGGTCTACAATTTTTCTCAGATACTGCTTGTTGGGGAATGGGGTTCCTTCCCATCCTTTTTGAGAGATTTATAATCTCAAACCTGGTGCTCTGTTCAGTGCTTGTGTTTCTCTCTCTCAAGCCATTTTTCCAGCCCAACTTAAGCACACACTCCGGTGCACCTAGTGGTTCTGGTGCCGTGGGGTGAGAGGGTTGCCTCTTTTTTGGCTAGTTGGTCTGCCTGTTCATTTCCTTCTATGCCTTAATGTCCGGGAATCCACTTTAAAGTTATATTGTGATTTCATAGTGCCATTAGGCAATTTAGGCACTCCTAGACAAGTTTGGAATAGAAAGCTTGCGCATTTATACCGGCAGGCCTGAAGAATCAACCAACCAGGGTGTTGTCAATTTTGAGGACAGAACTCAGTCTTATCCATCACTCCAGGGGTTATCAACAGCTGGGTCGTTTAAGCCCTCAACGCAATCAGTTCCTAAAACCAAACCCATCCACTCTTTTACTCACTTTTAAATATATTCTAACTTACATATGATTCATTCAAATAGGGTGGTCGATATTCCTTCATCACTCTTTGCAACTATTATAAAACTAACCTAATTGGGGGTCGACGGACTCAATATTCCGTCATTAGCCCTCTTATAATGCACATTCACGCCAATAAGTACATTCACTCTAACACAGTATATAATAAAACAACCTAGTTTTCTCCAAGAATCGGAACTCAACCCAGATACTCGCTGGGTTCAAGTATAATTGTCATATCGGGTGGCCTTTTCTGTACGGAGTCAAGGAATGGCACCGTTCAATTAAGTGGGACACATGGAGCAACCTTTCCCTACACGCCTGACACATACGTGCGCTTTGGCACAAAAGTTCGTGTCGGTATGTGAACCTCACATGGCCTATTCTCAACCGGGTGAGGATAACAATTCTTATATAAGTCAGATTTGGGCCAACTATTGACAGGACTTTTGACAAATGAGAGCTTCTTTGCCAAACCGGCCAACCGACATTGCCTACATTCTTTTAATGGTGGCTTTTCGCGGTTGAGACTTTTCAACATCTAATAAATACTCTTTGTAAAAAAACAATCTTTTGGTTTAAAACTTTTTTAACCAATATTGGTTCTCATGCATTCTATTAAAAATTTTGAAGTGGTGCAGTGGTTTTCTATCACATTGTGGATATTTTACCTTTAAAAAGGCATATTTTAATTTTTTCCAAGATTATACCCTAAGCCAATTACTTCAGATTTCATTACATCTAATGTTTTTTTTTATGCTCGATACATTACCTCAACCACCAAAAATGGAACTTTTCCGAACAGGTCGGTTTCAAAGTTTGGACACCAGAAGATTCTTCGTAGGCGATGGATTTGTACCTCATGTAAGTCTTCATCTTCCTCCTGAGGCGGATCGCCTTCAGCATCCAAAAAAGGAAGCACATCTTCTATTAGGCTTGATACAAAAAAAGTTTTGAAATCCGCTATAACCTTTTGCATGGTTTTGTGTCAATGTGATTTTAAATAAACCATCGAAACTTCAGTTCAATTCATTCAGTCATCACAAGCCTCGTCAGAGCTTTCGGCAAAAATGATCGTAAATTATTACACAATTTAAAAAAAAATGTGTCAACCAATACTTTTTGAATTAGCTGTATTGATTTAGGCAAAAGAGTTGGGACAGATGAAAATAAAATTGAGGCAATAGTTTGGAAATGACATTGTTCTACCAATTTTATCGATACCTAAGGAAAATATAAAAATTAAAGAGAGATTTTATAAAATTTATAATTTAATATTAAGTATTCTCATTTTACGTGTCATGCTGCTCATTGTTTCATTTCAAAATAGACATGTTGAATGATGCTTTATTCTGCATGAGTGTGTGAAACATGCTCTCATTTCATTTGACGAAATAATGAGGATTTATATTTTTAAATTTTTAATTCTGGTTTTATTCTAATAATATCGTATGTATATGTTAAATTTATGTAAAGTTCTTGTAGTCAACACTACATTTTTAGATAAATGTAACGTTTATGTTCTTCAAGACACCTAGGAAAGCACTAATATTGCTTTTCTATGCAAGAAGAGTACGCCATATTTTCTTCAGGGTTTTGAGTTGCGTTTCGATTTTATGACTTATAAACCGTTGTAAATATTAAACAGCTGATTGTAGTTTTCTCGGTGGTAAATGTATTTTGTTCAAATGTTAACAAGTGATTTAAGTTTCTTCTTCGTAAGCTGATTGAGCAGATTTGTAAGTGATAAAGGTTCAGTAAGGTGAAGAAGAAGATTGAAAACAAAATTGAAAGTGAAATTTTCTTTTTTTTTATTGTGCTTTCTCCTTAATTTTTTCTATTTCTGAGACTACATCTGGTGCAAGACACAGTTATCTACTCGTCGGACTAAAAACGAGTTTCTACGTCGGCCGAGTACGTCCATAGTTTTTAGTCTTGTCCCTTTCTTTTCAAAATGGAGGTAGTTAAATGTAAACATTGTGGGATCGATTTGTCGAAAAACCTTTATTTAAATTTTTTCAAAAATCAACAAACGAATTTTTCATCTTTTTTTTGTTGTAAAAATATATATTTCTTTAAATAAATGAGCTGAGTCTGATTCTATGTACACTGTTGCATTATGTCGATTTGTTTATTTTTACATGTTTTATTCAATAAATTAAAGTTAAAAATAAAGTAAACGATATGTTGCCGGTATTTAAATACAAAAAAATATACAATGTTGTATATAAGCCATCAGCAAAGATGGCAAATTTCACTATCCTCCTATCGTTCACATTGCAATGCGCATAAATAAATAGTACTATACATTTTAAAAAAATCACATCGTTGAAGAAACATAAACAAGAAATCCTCTTCCAAACTTTGATGCTGTACGGAAACAATCACGCCTTGGGATTTAGTGATGTACTGGAAAGAAGGAACACTCAAAATTTGGGCCGAACCTAAATTACTAAACAATGAACATTACAATCTAGAAGTAGAAATTCTAATCTTCTTTTTGATTCGTTATCAAGACCATATTTTTCTCTTCCTGTGTCATGTCCTTGTCGTCCCAGCCCCAGACTTCGCCGTCGTGCGTGTGGTCGGACCTCTTGGCCGATTCGTATCCGCCGTCGCCGGTCCTGGCAGCACGTTTCTTCACCATTTCGATCGAAGCAGTCTTAAGATCGTAAGCCCAGCCGATTTTGGAGAAGAAGTCGATGAAAGCCGTCGTGAAATTGGTACTGTAGCCGGAGAATTCGGACGTCTTGTAATCCCAAGGGAATGCGTGGTGGTAGTTGTGCCAACCCTCGCCGAACGCCAATATAGCAACGGAGAGATTCTCCCTCGGGCTGATGGTCCTAGGGAATACCACATTTGTAAAACATTGCAAACTAAAGGAATTTTTTTTAAAATTTAAGATTAAGTTACCTGTCGTACGGCCTTGTTCCGTACATGTGGGCAGCGCTGTTGACCAACCAGGTTCCATGAAGAGATAGGGTGTACCTAGCAATCGCTGCTACGTACCAAGCGGTCCACGGTTTCTCGTCCCAATAGTAGACAGGGATGAATGTCGGAAGGATGAAACAGATCAATGGTAGAAGTACCGCGTACGTTCTGCTCAGGGAGAAAAAGTGTTCATTTGTGCAAATTGCTTCAGAATGTTTTATCACTCACTTTTTCTGGAACATCACGACCCAGTCTTGCTCCAGGTCGGACATGTCGACGGTTTTTCCCTTGTTCATGACGTCCTTGTGCTTCTTGATGACAAGCCAGCCCATGTGGCTGAAGAAGAAACCCCTTTTGGAGTTGTGCGGGTCTGCGTCCGTATCGGTGAATTTGTGGTGGACCCTGTGGTCCCTCACCCATTCGTAGATGTGGTTCTGGAAGGCGAGTGTCTGGAAAATAGCCAGCATAAGTCGCAGCGGCCACTTCGCCTTGTAAGATTTGTGCGACCAGAGTCTGTGCGAACCCGCCGTCACTCCCATCCCTCCTAAATATATCAGCACAACCGCTGCAAAAACAACACAAATTAAAGCGACTTTGATGTTTCTACATGCGCCTATATAGAGTTACAAAAGCGCATTTATATCGGTACGAACTTTCTTCCGAATATTTTCCGATAGCACGATACCATTTAAAAATAAACAATTTACAGAAGTCTTGTTATTGTATTTGTTACTTTTGTTTATAAAAGCTTCACTTAGTATTTCGCTTATGGAGACCTTGAGGTATGATGCAAGGCGCGACAAATGTGTCGACTCTCTCAAATTTTTCAGAAAGTTGTACGTTTAGAATAGAATATGTTCGATTAAAATAATGCAGCACAGAATAGATTTTATCGTTCCAATTCAAGATAAGTCAGCATAATTAGCAAACGTTAGTAATATGGATATCGAAGAGCTCAAAGTTGGTGTTGACCCTGAAAAACTGAAAGTTGAAGAAATACAATCCAAAATTATACAGTTAATATATTTCTAAAGTCGAAATTAAAAACGTAATTTTACTCAAAAATTACTCAATGGAGTGAAAACTAGAAAAACGACTGAACGATTTGAACACTACATTAAAACTGATAAACATTTAGATTTATGATTATTCGGAGATGGTGAAATGCGGTCTGGTGTGACGTAGGTTTTAGAAAAACAGTTTCTTTATCGTGCCAACGTTTCGATCATTATTGAGATCATCTTCAGGGCCTGCGATTTACAAACATTGTTTAAATTTTACAAATACATGTAGGATGTGAAAAAAATGAATTTATACAAGGCTAGAAAATTTTAGATTAATAAAAAGAATTTATACAATGTTAGAAAATTTTGGATTAAAAAAAAGAATGAATTTGTACAATGCTAGAAATTTTTTTTCTAAAAAAATGAATTTATACAATGCTAGAAAATTTTAGATTAAAAAAAATGAATTTATACAATGCTAGAATTTTTTTAGATTAAAAAAAATGAATTTATACAATGCTAAAAAATTTTAGATAAAAACAATTAATCTAAAATTATTTGGAATTGCATAAATTCATTTTTTTAAATCTAAAATTTTGTAGCATTGTATAAATTCATTTTTTTTAATCTAAAATTTTGTAGCAATGAATTTATACAGTGCTAGATTTTTTTTAGATAAAAAAAAATGAATTTGTACAATGCTACAAAATTTTAGATTAAAAAAAATGAATTTATGCAATGCTACAAAATTGTAGATTAAAAAAATGAATTTATACAATGCTACAAAATTTTAGATTCAAAAAAATGAATTTATACAATGCTACAAAATTTTAGATTAAAAAAATGAATTTATACAATGCTACAAAATTTTAGATTAAAAAAATGAATTTATACAATGCTAGAAAATTTTAGATTAAAAAAATGAATTTATGCAATGCTACAAAATTGTAGATTAAAAAATGAATTTATACAATGCTACAAAATTTTAGATTAAAAAAAATGAATTTATACAATGCTACGAAATTTTAGATTAAAAAAATCTAGCATTGTATAAATTCATTTTTTTAATCTAAAATTTCGTAGCATTGTATAAATTCATTTTTTTTAATCTAAAATTTTGTAGCATTGTATAAATTCATTTTTTAATCTACAATTTTGTAGCATTGCATAAATTCATTTTTTTAATCTAAAATTTTGTAGCATTGCACAAATTCATTTTTTTACTAAAAAAAATTTCTAGCATTGTATAAATTCTTTTTTTTTAATCTAAAGTTTTCTAGTATTGTATAAATTCCTTTTTTCACCACCTCCTACATGTATTTATAAATTTAAACCATGTTTATAAATTCTAGGCATGAAGACCTGAGTTTTTACATATTAAACAGAAAGATGTTGAAGTAACTTAAGAACAATGGGAAATGAGATTTTTAATAAATGCTAATATTTTGTTTTGATATACATACTATTTGGATTGGGAATAATTTTTCTTTTTGAGTATCATCGTAATAAGTGAACAATCAAATTCCATCATTAGCCAAAAATGATTTTACATGGGGTTTCATTACAAATTATAATGTCCAAATTTTGTAATTATACGAATTTCAACATATTCCATTGTCTCTAATTCTAATGATCTAGGAATACAATGTCCTATGTAAAAAAGTTGATTTGGTTTTAAGTTATAATACAGAAACCCAAAATAATGATGCGCACTTGTATATTTTTTTAAAACTCGCCATCACAATATAAATGCAGTGTCGTGCCAATTTATTGATTTTCAACCATCAGATTCAGAGGTGACTGAGTGATAGGCTGAATGTATTATTTACAATAGCAGGTGGGGTTGGAAATTGACCCTAGGCAGTTTTGGCAATCTGTTTTCCAAATCCAAATCCATTACCCAATCGTCTTTGTATATTCCGAGAAAAATTCATTTCAAATACGACCAATTAAAATGTTTATGAAATGTATGGATCTGTATCATCAGAACGGTATTTTTGCTAACTTCGTCCCTTCAACCTTCTACCGTTTACACAATTAATAAAAGATAAAAAACATATGCAAAACGATGCTTCGACATCAGATCACTTTAAAAAATTTAGACCAGCGAACCTAAAACCGTTCCTGGATATCTAAGTACTAGGTGGGTCATCGAGAGGCTTCCCGATATTGCTGTACGCAAAATACTATATCTAATCATCAATGATTTATGCATTTAGACGCATAGCCTGTAGCCAGAAAGTGGCTGAAGTAATTATGGGCGCCAAAACCGTAAAACTGCAGAAGAACCCGACTGGAACGGCTTGTAGAATATTTCAGAAAAAGGGCAAATATAATACAAAGGGTATGGATTATACAATAATACAAAGGAATATTACAGAAAACAATTCGACTGCGTCAATTTAGCTTTGAGGAAAGGAACAGTACAATATACCAGTTAGAGCTTGTGTGCTCAAGCGTATTCCTAGTTTTACAAGCTTTTCAGAAGGTTTTGACCTTTAAGCTTCCTTTTACAATACTGCAACGTTAGCCGTTTATGCTCTTCAGGGTGAAATTTGAAGTGAAACGTCTGTCCTAATTATTCAGATATCGTGAGATGGTCTGTCCTAATGTTGATTGTGGCTGGCACACAAGGAAATGTACTTAGGACAATTCTTTATCTCTTGTCATATGGATGTTGGACATGATGAATAAATAGGACTTGCTTCAATTGAAGTCGCTATTACCTTGATGGCAGTGGTCGGCGGCGTATAACAAGCTCAAAAGTTGTCTTGCATACAAGGCATGACAGTTGAGACCATGGTCAGAAACTCAGGTGGAACGCCTAATGAGCATCAAATTAAAACGACGACGGGTGGTGCAATGTGGTTAAGGCTCGGGGCCCAAGAAAGGTTTACCTCGTGTCCTCCCTCTCTCAATCCAGGTTCCTTCATTCTTCTCTTGATCCCTCCCAACCCTTAGTTACAAGGGGGTGTCCGGGCTTAAAATAATGGTGCAGCCCGGAGGGCGTGGCAACCTCTCTAAAGCACAAGATGTACGGGTCGGCATGGGGCGGCGGGTGCCTTATCAGAGGCACACGAGGGTTAGGGTACCAAATCCTGTCTGCATAGACGGGGGAGGGTGCACAACCATCTGTACAACGGGTTAACAGAAATGTTCCAAGGTTCAGCCCCTGTTACCCTGGGAATGGACTCGTAGTGGTTCGTGGTGACGCCCCTGGCGGGAACTTAGAGAAGAAGCTGTCTTCTATTTGTGACCTTCGCACGAGACCATCGTTATACACCCGGCCTCACGGGGTACGGCGGATCGGACCGAAGCGTATAATCGTTGAGGACGCTATGATTACGCTGATTGAGTCCCTCGAATGCGTGAGTAGTGGCGGATGGGAATGGGTAGTGAATCGGTTGCTCCTATTTTAGTATGCTTTGCACGTAGGTGTAGGCTGAGCTTGATTGGAGGCTTTTACCGTAGGCGGTTTCCTCTAGGGGGTGGTTAGCAATTCTACTTTAAACAAAACAGCGGCCGGAGCGGATCCGGTAGTTTCTACGCTGGGGAAGTCCCAATACTCTGGGAGATAGAGTGGCCTTCTCTATCTAGGGAGTACGCGGGAGACCAAGCTGATGTATTTCGGCTTAGGTAGCCCTTTGAGCGCGGCATACGGTTCGATGCTTAATTCGGACCCGACTACTCGGAATGGGGAAGCGGGGAGCGAGGTTGTCTTGGCCCCTCGGGGCTGAGGTGCCTCTACACTAATGCTGCGGCAGTAACACACTTCTGTCGGAGGTGCGTCAGCTCTCATCTTGAGAATCGAAACGTCCGATAAAGATCCCCATTGTCCTTTTAAGGACGACCGAGTATACGGGAAAGCATCAAATTCACACTAGCACTTATGGGCAAGCGGGGAGCGAGGTTGTCTTGGCACCTCGGGGCTGAGGTGCCTCTACTCGGGCATAAGGTGCGGCATTCAACTCTTGAACTGTGAGGCATGAACGGAGACTCCATGGACAAGACACGAAGTACGTATGTTTGACAATGCTAAGCAAGGAGACGGATCGAAAGAAAAAGAACCTCTGGTTTTGGTAGTGAAAATATTTGTTATGTTAGTCTAGGGAGCAATCCAATGAGATGTAACCTGCAATATGGTACGTGTAATCCAGAATGACACATAGGACCCTTGTTAGGAAAAAAGTGTATTTAGCACTTAAGCCAATGTTTTTTTATGGAGAAAATTAACTTTGTAACAGATTAAACAAACAGAACAAATCAATCTTAACATTCCAAGTATGTTTTGTTGTAATCTTGGCACAAATTGCTTAAACCCAGTGACTGGACAGCTTAAGACCGTTGTTTAAAATAATACCGGAAGATTAACACATAAATTTGACAGAGAAACATTACGAGCGAGTGTTGTGCCGTATGATTTCAGAGGATGGCAAATAAGCCGGAGAATTAGTGGACACCGGTTTTGTGGTCTGGGTTAGCGACCCTGATGAAAGTAATCGGAAGAACGTGTTATGCAATTTGAGCTCGGTCAGTGGTACCACGGTCAAAGCCACTTTCACTCGCCTTCCTCAAACTGGCCTCTTAATGGCACATGCTGTTCCTGTTACGTGGACAATCCTATTGGAAAGACTTACTGAATAATATCGTCTGGGCTAAAGCTTGTGTGAATAAAAGGTACAGTCCGTAGAAGGCCCCGATGTGGAGGTAGGCGAAGGCCAGGACGTTCCTCCAGACGATTTTCCATTCGTATTGCGGCTTGGTCGGCTCTTGGGTCGTCGTCGGAGTCTTCGAAATGACTTCCGCCTCGGTTAAAAAGAGACCAGTAGTCGCCCCGCTGAGATTAGGAGCCATCCTGAAAATAAGACAAGAACATATTAAGAAAACGAACTTTTTCAATTTAAATGTTCTTTTTACGCATTTAAAACTCAACTAACACCCAAAAAGAATGTAAAATTCTTCGTTCTGTCTACAAAATGTTCATCAAAGGCTTCTGCTCGTTCTTTTGAACCAATGCACTGTGTACTTTCAATTGTTAACGAATTGGAACCAAATTGAAAATCAAGTCCAATCAAGTCAGTCATAAAGTCAAGTAAATATGTAAGTTTAATATCAACAGTGTGCTTTCACTAGTAAATCTGTGTTACTCTAATGACAGAACGGTACGAACAGTTCACCGAGCATTATCTCGAGGACAATAGATGGAATGTGGAGCGCCGGTTGTCGCTACCATTTCAGGACTGAAGAGAATAAAAGCATATTCGAAACCAAGACCTCTGGGCAACAAGAAGAAATCATTACAGAAAAGAAATCATTATCCTTTCCGTTTAAATGGTCGTCAATTTTTAATCAAATACAATTAATTCGATTTTGTTTAGGTAATAATTCGCGCCTTCATCAACAGCAACATGGAACGGCTCGTGAAAAAAAAATCATAAAATTCGTGGTCGCCGCAGAACAAAGTGAAATTGGACATAAAGAATGTCTTACATAATTGAAAGAAGTAATTTGGTCAATTAGACCACCAAAACATAATGGATTCGATATAAAATCAATACATGTAGATGCCTACAGTGTCCATGGGAAATCTGGAGAATAATTGGAGGTAATGATTATAACTTCGTGGAAGAAAGTTATCCAAAGAAAGCCCAACAGAAAGTGAACAATCTACAATACAAGAAATCTTTCAATCCCGGTAAAGTCAAAGAATGAAGAAGCTTCAGGTTTGGACTCACAGTCTGTATGCATAAAATACAAAAACGTATGAGTTTTTTAAAAATTTCCTTTTGTTAACATTAGGAAGAATTAACCTTTTTCTGTAAGGTTTTTGGTTGAAATGAAAAAGTTAGTGTCACGAGCGGGATTCGAACCCACGAACTTCGGCTCAATACGCCGCTGCTCCCGACCTACAACCTTTCGAATTTTCCCTCCTTTTTGCCATTTTTCACCTCGCCGAGAATCGAATCCTGATTACACATTTGAAAAATGGCAAAAAGTAGGGAAAATTCGAAAGGTTGTAGGTTGAGATACGGAGTTGTTGTCCAAACTGAAACTTTGTTGAAGGTTTTTGGTTGAAATTAAAAAGCCAGTGCCACGAGCGGGATTCGAACCCACGACCTTTGGCTAAATACTCCTCTGTTCTATCCTCTATGCTCTATCCACTCGGACACCAACTCCCCATCTCAACCTACAACCTTTCGAATTTTCCCTCCTTCTGCCATTTTTCAATTTATTGCCAGTTTTTTTGGTGTCCAAGTGGATCGAAGTCACGATAGCTCAAAGTGGTTAGAGCAGTGGCGTATTAAGCCGAAGGTCGTGGGTTCGAATCCCGCTCATGTCACTATCTTTTTAATTTCAATCAAAAACCATACATAAAAAATTAATTAATTGAAAGAAGTAATTTGGTCAATAGAACGCTAAATATAATGGATTTGGAAAGATTTTCAATTATCTTCCTCCTTGCTAGACGGGGAAACGTATATAAACATACATTGGATGAAAAATTAAAAATAGTTTAGCGTTCAGTGGAAAAATGTACCATTATTTTGTTTTACCATAGTTCGAGGATGTACCGTAAACATTCGTACAAATATACTTTAACACATATATAATTATGAAAATATCCGAACTGAATTTTAGTAGTACTTTTCCGATGGAACACTTGAACTTGTTTTGCTTTAATGCCTTTTGTAACCTCGAAACCCCTTTCCTTTGTATTTCGCTTTATTGCCTGCCCTTTCAAGTGTAGATAAAATATTTTTAGACTGCCTAGACTAATAAACTGTTTTATAGCTAATTATTAACTTGATTTCGACCAAAAGGGGGAATTATGTTGAAAAAGTTTTATTCACTGATGTATTAAATTTTTGTATTTTTCATTTTCAATTTTGTTACTACTCGCCCTGAGAAGAATTGTATTACCTTATTTTTGTACTACCATTGCACGTCCGAAGTATATCAGTTTGTATGTCGAGCACTTCCGTGACCACTGCGGCTCTCTCGAACCTTCGCGACATTCCAACGGACAGGAAAATATTCGAACGCACCGAGAAAGTCCTTTCGGAAAATGGCCCGGTCGAGGGAAAAACGCCCTTTCTAATTACTTCGGTTTATTTTCGACGTACAAGTTTTTAGGGTGGGAGGATATGCTGTCACTTTCAAAAAGTGGTCTGGGCTGAAACAACACTCAGACTCTACCTGACACTGTTGATGAAGACGTTTAATTTAAACAATTCGGATTGATACACAAATTGGGAAATAACTTGAAAAGAAGGAGTATTGGAAGAAAAAATTATATGTTTGATAATTTTGAAATATTTTGTCATGAAAATTAATTTAGTCTAAAAAACCTATTACAATTTATTACTCTACATAAACTGTTCTGTTAATAAAAGAGTGTTTTCTTAAACGAACCACAGTCACTTTATAAATCAATTAAAAATTTTCCAAGGTAAAAAGTTAAATAAAATAATCACTTAATTTACTAGCATGTTCTATGTCTTTATAGAAATCCATTAGAATCGTTTTACCTAGCTTGGGTTCCCATAGGAAAAGACAATGAACAACAATAATATACGAGTTCACTAGTTGTTTAACTTAATTCTAGATATATGTAATAAACGTATGCGTGTCCGTTTGGGAAAAAGCTCTTCTTCCACGATCATGCCTGGAAATTACGTGACTACATTTAAGTACGCCGTGAGTGCAATTGTCAATTTAAATAAACGACGGAAACTATTGAAAAGTGGCCTCGTGGGATAAAACCTTGAGATATTGGCCATATTTACGAATTTCGGCCAATTATTTTCTTTGTGTTTTCTCGAAACCCCGTGAAAAACCACGATTTCCTTTTGGCGACGTTTTCAAAAAAGAAAAAAGAAATTCAACTCTTTATCTAGCAAATATTGTCTATTTTTTATAATTTTATAACGTTAAAATTCCGTCACCAAGTCTTTTGATTTTTTTTGTAATTTTTGAGAAATTTCAGTTTTGCAAACTCACCCGTGTAAATTTGTAAATAGTAGTAATAAATTATTCGTTCTATGTAAGGTCTTGATTGAGATAAAAAAGTCAGTGTCACGAGCGGGATTCGAACCCACGACCTTCCGCTAAATACGCTGCTATTCTACCAGTTCAGCTATGGTGACTTCCATCCTCCTTAGCGGAAGGTCGTGGGTTCGAATCCCGCTCGTGACACTGACTTTTTATCTCAACCAAAACCTAACATAGAAAGAATAATCAATTGAAAGAAGTAACTTGGTCAATTGACTACTAAAACGTAAAATGGAGTAATAAAATAAGAAAACTTATTACGATTTTTTTTTAAACTTGAAAACACACATCTGCACATTGTGATTATTTTTGCCAAGGAATTTTTATCGTTTCAATAACGAGCCAAAAAAACCAATAGCTCTAATAGCTGCTAAGTAAACGATAAGCGAAGTAATTAACAGTTCCTCATAATAATGATTTTCAGGGTAAATTAAGTTCTATAAATGCGATATCATTCACGAAGATTCATCTTATGATATATTGAACAAAATATATGTACATAGTACAATTAATCCATCTTGGCATAGTGTCTATTTGGGAAACTGAACAGAACGGATTCAACATATAACCGACAGGTTTATAGGGATAAAAGAAGCGGTGTACCTCTACATGAGTAGATCTATTGTCCTCTTATTCTCACTGGCTAGCTTCATGTTGTTAATCAACTTCCATAGCTTTGCCAGCGGCTCCTTACGGTAGTCTAGCTTGCTGGTTTTCCTCTCCTAGTTGCAAGAATCTGTAGCTACTAGACCCTGACAAAAAAAGTGTTCTGCGGTCTTCTCTTCTTCCTGGCAGGATCTGCACACTGTTTCTTCAGTCTGAACTCCTGTACGGTGCTTGTGCTTTCTTAGGCGGTAGTGCCCTGTCAGGATCATCATCCTAGTCACGGCACTAAAATTTGGGTTACTGAACCCACACCACTCAGGCAACGGTGCGTCAGTAGGGAGTTCGTATGACCTCCCGGGTGTGCGATTAGTCCCACCTTAAAAATAATACTGAACCACGGGATTGGAGTATCCAAGCGGCTCTACAAATTGAGGTTGGACTCCTGGTAGTCGTGGTTTGTAAACAAATTGTACCTTAGCTGGAGGGCCAACCGGAGATGGAGGTAGAGTGCCTTCTCTATCTCTCCGGAGGTGGTGAAAGGCATGGCTAAAAAGCTGTGCTGGAAACCACAAAACTGCTTTTTTTAAGGCACATGCATGGATGTGCCCTTTTTAGGGCACTTCTGAACTTGGCTAGTATTGCACCACCTCGCTAGCCAAGGGATGTGACAAGTCCATGCATGTAAAATCTTCCAGGTGTTCTTTCGAGAACACTAGGCGTCTGAGAAGTCCTCTGGGGGTTAAAGATCCTCAGGGGTCTCAACGCCCATGAGTAAAGATGGGAACATCTGCCCTGTCAGGAGACCACCAATCCTGGTTCTGCTGCGGTTAACCTCCAATAGTTCCTTTGTAATTCTTGCCCTTCTGTTAATTTTTACACCTGGGTCTCATACCTGGTGTATTGTTCCACCAGGTTTTGCACTCATTGAAGATCCATTTTTGGATTCATCGGAGTACTCCACGCGCCTTCATCGGCTTTTAAGACGTCGTTGTGCCAGTAGGAATTGATCTTCAGAAGTGTTCCTTTGGCACACTCTTCCCTTTCTGTTATAAGTACCTTGTACTTGTGAAGTTATATTTTGGAGTGGATTGGAATTTATAACCGTTATAACATTTCAAGCTTTTTATTTAAATAAACTAGATTCCCGTAATGTTTTGAGTTGTTTTCAATGTAATTTTTATTTTGGATGCTGTGAGAGTTGAGAAAAGCAACCCGTTAGCCTAACGACACGATTCATCTATAAAAGCAGCCACGGGATTTAGGAACTGTTGCATCGTCACGGTAAAAACTCAAAGGCCGTGACCGTTCGTTTTCTAACTAGTCGATAATTCTACTAAAAAGCCACGCCCATAAAATTCAATCAAATTTGAAGGCAAACAGCATCAAACCAGGAAAGTTTGACCTGATTCTACTAGATCAAGGGTTAAATTTTTTTTCGCACTTTAGACTACATAGTTTTAAAGCGCAGAAACGATGTATCATCATCGTCGCAGGACCCAGGTGAAAGTAACCTGTTCCCAAAACACAGAAGGCTTAGCTGAATTTCTATCAGGGGACTTTAAAAATAAGTTCTGTCATTTTAACAAATGAAGACTGCTATTCGGAAAAGATAAAACACCACCATTAAAAATAACTTATTTCTAATCAAGAATAGTTTATGGGGTTATAAAAGCTTTAAACCCTAGTTATATCCTTGCCAAATTCCCAATTAATTTGTACAAATAAAGAAGAAAGAATTGCAGATAATATTATAACTTTAAAACAAGCATAAATTATTTTTAAAATTTTCGTAAATACAGCTGAAGTATATTCATTTTTGAAAAACTTTCATTAACTAACTAATTATATCTGTTTATTACTATTGGATGCAAAAGTTGCGTGTTTTTATATTTGTTATTTGCGACGGCACCCACGGCTTCGATCGCTGGCCTTACCTGACCTAATCCACGCGCGAATACGAATACCAGAAATTGATGAATGGATATTAGAAAAAAAAATGTGGAAAGTGAATCAATGCTCTTAGAATTCTTCAAAAGTATAACTTGTATGCTAGGGTCGAAATGTATATGTAATACGTTGTTTCAAGGAGAACGTTTATTTCATTAAAGTTTAAGTTAGGAAATATTGATAATTGTTTAATCATAAATTGAACAATCAAAATTTCCTAAATTATACAAGAAAAATGTATTTCCATAAAATGGAACAAGTCTTAATAATATAATTTTACTGTGCAATTGTGTATTTATAATATTAAAATTTAATGAACGGATACCCAAAATTGGAATTTAATCAATGCAGTTAGAATTTCTTAAAATAATAAATTCTACTCCAGGGTCGAGATTTAAAATAATTTCTTTCAACCTTTCTTTTGTACATATTTGAATGTACTTATAAATATACACTAAACGGTGGCAGAACAGAAATCATTTTTAGGTCAAATAAGCATATGCCTGGCAAAAAGTTCTGAAAAAACGTTTTGTATAATAAATATAAATAATAAATTGTACATTCTATAATAAATCCATTATTTTTAGTGGTCTATTGACCAAATTACTTCTTTCAATTAATTAATATTTTTATGTAAGGTTTTTGATTGAAATGAAAAAATCAGTGTCACGAGCGGGATTCGAACCCACGACCTTCGGCTCAATACGCCGGTGCTCTTCTAATCACTTGAACTATCGTGACTTCGACCCACTCCCCATCCCAACCTACAACCTTTCGAACTTTCCCTCCTTTTTGCCATTTTTCAGTCGCCGAGAATCGAATCCTGATTACACGACATTTGAAAAATGGCAAAAATGAGGGAAAATTCGAAAGGTTGTAGGTTGAGATAAGGAGTTGGTGTCCGAACGGATCAAAGTCACGATAGCTCAAGTGGTTAGAGCAGCGGCGTATTAAGCCGAAGGTCATAGGTTCGAATCCCGCTCATGTCACTAACTTTTTCATTTCAATCAAAAACCTTACATAAAAAATTAATTAATTGAAAGAAGTAATTTGGTCAATAGACCACTAAATATAATGGATTTGGAAGGATTTTCAATTATCTTCCTCCGGCTAGAGAATGAAACATATATAAACATACATGATGAAAAACGAAAAATAGTTTAGTGTTTTGTAAAAATTGCATATTCTATAATAAATCCATTATATTTAGTGGTCTATTAACCAAATTACTTCTTTCAATTAATTACTCATTTTATGTAAAGTTTTTGGTTGAAATGAAAGAGTTAGTGTCACAAGCGGGATTCGAACCCACGACCTTCGGCTCAATACGCCGTTGTTCTAACCACTTGAGCTATCGTGACTTCACGATCACGACGGAGTGGTTAGAGTAGCTGCGTACTGAACCGAAAGTCGTGGGTTCGAATCTCGCTCGTGACACTAACT